TATTTACTTGATAGTTATAAACTATTACACCCAGTTTCATATCATTCTACCCTTTCATATCAGCTCAATGAAACGATATAACCAAACCAATTTGACGAGAAGTTTCATACACATTTTGACGTTTTGTACATATAGAATGACCCTTTCATATCAGCTCAATGAAACGATATAACCAAACTGATTTGGCGAAAAGTTTCATACATATTTTGACGTTTTGTACATAAAGAATGACCCTTTCATATAAGCTTAATGAAACGATTTAACCAAAACACTTTGGAGAAAAGTTTCATACATCTTTTGACGTTTCGTTCATATATAATGGCCCTTTCATATCAACTCAATGAAATGATATAACCAAACTGATTTGGCGAAAAGTTTCATACATATATTGACGTTTTGTATATATATAGAATGACCCTTTCATATCAGTTAAATGAAACTATTTAACTAAAACACTTTAGTTGACTGAAAAAAACTAGTTTGGCCAAGTGAACTGAAATGCGATTCGCTCAATCGGAACGTTTACTGAAATTAACCAAATGCAGCCAATCGGACGATTTTGTTGGATGAACCAAATTTTTGTCCGCATGTACAATAAATCCAATTATATTTTGCATCTTTCTCTTCAGGGCTGGACCCTGCATATCCAGGATTCTATCAACTAGATGCAGAACATCTCGAGAGAAACGATGCAAGATTCGTCGACGTCATCCACACCGATGGTGGAGTTTATGGGGTCTTACAGTCAACAGGAACTGCAGACTTTTTTGCAAATGGAGGAAAAAGGCCCCAACCAGGATGCGCTCTGATAGGAATTCCACTGAGCCCAATATGTAACGAAACCATTTTTCCTATACTTTCTATCTCGATTGATTTCAATTTCCCGATTTTCTGAAGCTTTGTAATTTTTTTCTATTTTTTTCGAGGCCCTCATCAAGATGTGCTCTGATAGAAATTCCACTGAACCCAATATTTAATGAAATCATTTTTCATATACCTTTTATCTCGATCGATTTCAATTTCCCGATTTTCTAAAGCTTCCTGGCCACTCCAGGAGTCCTTTGTAATTTTTTTTCTATTTTTTTCGAGGCCCTCATCAAGATATGCTCTGATAGAAACTCCACTGAACCCAATGTGTAATGAAATCATTTTTCATATACCTTTTATCTCAATCGATTTCAATTTCTAGAGTTTCTGAAGCTTCCCGACCACTCCAGGAGTCCTTTGTAATTTTTCCTTATTTTTTCGAGAGCAGCTTTGTGCAGTCATTGGAGATCTTGGAGGTTATACTCCGAGACCGTAAAGAACTCCCGTGCCTTCCTGGCAGAAGAATGCTCCTCCTATGCCATTTTTGCCTTAGGCTTGTGTCGGAACAACAAACACGTTTATTTCGGCTATTCGTCACCTACGAACATGTACGTATAAAAGTTACAAACGGGCCGGTAATTAATTTTGTTAAAAACGTTTAGTGGGTTCATAGAGAAAGCACTCTTTTTTTTCTTTCAAGGAAATCATTTCTTTTAATGGAGTTAAGGTGAAGTGAAACCCCTCTCAAATCTGTCGACTCGAATTACACACTTTTTTTCAAGGGTATTGAATCGAACTGTCCGAATCTTTGAATGTCATGACATTTTCAAAATTTCGATTTTTGACAACAAAAATGTTTAACTTAGCCCAGACGAGAAACAAAATGGCGTCGAGCTCGCGTATTTCGATCGATATACAATTCTTGAAGGCTCTAATATGAGGAACGAAAGTGCCAGGAGAATTGTACGATAATTAAAAACAATCAGGTAATCGAGAAACTGGAATTTTAACGGGATAAAGGCAAAAACAGTGTCTTATACGCTTCTATGCTAAAACGAAGGTAATACGAGGTCTTGGAGAGAAAATGTAGTTGAAACTAAAATCACAGATGGCGCAGGGTGGCCCTCTGCAGTGAATTACGGCATCGAAAACCATGAATTCAGAGGATTTCTGGAGTTTAACTTGGATTTCTTTATAATTATTGTAGGAAAACAATATATGGATCATGCAATTTAGTACAATACCCAATATAATTCGTCACAGCTGTCGATATAAAAACGAACTTCGGCAACGTAGGTATTTAAAAAAAAACCTTTTTACCGACGTCGACCAAATTTATGGACGCGTTTCACTTCACCTTAAGAAATTGGACTTTTATATGAAAGGCTTAATTATGGAATTTTTCGAAATTTATGTGGGATCATTTTTATCGATACGTTTCAGATCTGGCAAATTCTATTTCGACACGTATGCAGAACCTCCATTTAAACAAAGAATGCTGACAACATTGGATTGGCCATAAGTGAATATTCTGGATGGAATTATTATCTCCCAGTATTAAAACAGAATCAAGAATAGACAGATATATTGTTGCACGAGTATGCACGTGGGCGGAGTAGTCACTGATAACAAATTCTTAAGCTAGTACAATATGTAATTAATTGTTTAAAGAAAGGATGATCATGTGTACCTTAACTAAAGTATTAGCAGCACCCATTTTGAGTAACCATTGTTGTGGTTCCCATTTTTCCCAATTGCTTCAGGTCGTTGCAAAGAGACTCCCTGTAAAACCAGAAAATTCATTAACAAATACATTCGCAACACTCATGAAGATTTAATGTACACCAATTTGTACGAAAAAAAAAAAAAAAGAAAAAACACGTGTGGTTTATTTCAGTACTCGAGAATATTTTCCGTCTTTCAAAAACTAATAACTGAACAATTTAGTCCTGTTAAGGTATGAAAGGCGCTGAGAGGTTTAATTAAGGTCGATTAATAAAATTTCATCTATACCCTTTTTGGTGGTAACGTCGTTTTGAACTATTTTTTAACTATAACAAATAGTTAAATAATAGTTCATTTAACTACATTTTTCTTTCAGTGCATGCTTTGAAACAGGCGTTTCAAGTAGTGTTAATTTTACTATAAAAAGTATCCGAGTCCTTTTATAACTATAACAAATAGTTAAAAAATAGTTAATTTAACTGGATCTTTCTCTCAGTGCATGCTTTAAAACAGGCGTTTCAAGTAGAGTTCGTAAACTAGGAATTTTATTATTTACTGACCAATCGCTCCTCCTAATAACTGGATAAACAAGAGGTGTCTTAAAGCCATTGAAATTTGATGATAAGGAGACTCCATAAGCTCCCATATCAAACCACACAAGCCGGTCGCCGATTTCAAGTTCTGGCAAATTAGCTTCTTTGGCAATACAGTCGAAAGAGTCACAAGTTGGTCCCCAGAGAGTCGAAGGAAATGTTTCTCCCGATGGTGTCTGTACAAAAGAGAGACACTATCACATATATAAACCCAAACAAAAAAAGCGATAATTAATGAAAAAGATTTTTAATAAGTCGTCGCAGGAAATGTATTTGTCTCGAAACTCTGTCGATATGTCGAGAGACACTATCGCATATATAAACCCAAACAAAAAAAGTGATAATTAATGAAAAAGATTTTTAATAAGTCGTCGCAGGGAATGTATTTGTCTCGAAACTCTATCGAGTTTCTAATCACTAACCCGGTTTGAGAGGACGGGCAATCTGCATTTAAGATTTAGCAGTTCCTCGATGAAAGAGCCGTAAGTCCCATCGGTCATGTAATACATCAGTTTTTTTCTGCCATCTTCGATAATTATCTTTTTGCTGTGTACAAGAGAGGCCAAAGTAGAGGCAGACGTCACATAATACCTTCCAGGCTCGCTAATCACATCGATGGAAGGATCGACGTCCTTCAATGCGTCATTAATGCTGTCAGCGTACTGAAAAAAAATGCTAGCTTCATTCTTATCATTTTTATCATTTTTTTTTTATACGCGAAAAGAATCACAGATATAGGGGAAGAGTATCTGTACAAGGAAAGTGTCATGAAACCTATGTACTTCCAAGTCGTCCCTTTTCTTATCTGCGCTAGACTACTTTGTAGTATTGTGTATCTTCTTCATTATCTTTATCGTCATTTTTATTCAATTCTGTCACGATAATACTTCAGAAGTGAGGTTGCAATTACCTCGTTCGCTCTATCTAGATTCGAATATTAAGGTGAAGTGAAACATGTCGAGGAACTTGATCGACGTCGATAAAGAAGATTTTTCTAAATGCTTACGTTGCCGACGTTGGTTTTTATATCGACAGCTGGGTCGAATTATATTGGGTATTGTACCAAATGGCATACTCCACCTGTCGTTTTCGTACAATAATTATAAAGAAATCCAAGTTAAACTGAAGAAATCCCCTGGATTCATGCTTTCTGAGGCCCTACTTGACTGCAGAGGGACCCCCTGCGCCATCTGTGATTTCCAGGTCAATTAAATTTTCACTCCGAGACCTCGTATTCCCATCGTTTTGGCATAGAAGCGCATACAACACTTTTTTTGCCTTTATCCCGTTCAAATCCGAGTTTATCGATTACCAGAGGGTTCTAAATTGTCGTAAAATTGTCCTGACCATTTCGATTCTCATATCAGAGCCTTCGATAATTGTATATAGATCGAAATATGAGAGCTCGACGCCATTTTGGTTCTTCTCTGGGCTGAGTTAAAAAATTTTTTTGAAAAATCCAAATTTTGAATGTGTCAGGACAATTCTTAGATGATCATGTGTCAAAGTTTCGGACAGTTTGGTCTAATACCCTTAAAAAAAAGTGTTGTATTCGAATCGACTGATTTGAAGGGGGTTTCACTTCACTTTAAAGTCTGTGAAGGGACGAAGTTGTGATAAACAAAAAAATGCCAGTGGTTTATATACTTGGCATTGTGATACCATTCTAGTACTCTCTACATGTAGAGGCATAAAGTGGAATCTAAATAGTTACTTTCTTTTCCTCTAAATTTGCCAACCACTCTACTTGGTCCTTTACACGTTGTTTCTCTTTTTTCCTTTTGTTTATAGGAGCTGCATTTACCTCGTCAATTTCCACTCCAGTTTCTCCGGGAATTCCCCCGCCAATGTCGATAAGTCTCACGTCTTTGCAGCCAATTGCTTTGGCGGCTTCGATCAGACTTTTGCAGATTCGGATCCCCCTGTGATAAGCTATCATCTCCCCGCAGGGGCTTCCGACGTGAAAGCTGAATCCATGAAGTCTTAATCCTAGATCTTTCGTCATCTGTATCATATGAATCGCTTCTCGATCAGGATCGCAGCCGAATTTTAATCCCAGCAGTGCATCCGAATTTGCAGCGTCGCATCGTATACGAATAACGATTCTGCATAAAATAAAAAATATCAGACAGGCAATAAAAGTGTCTTAATAACATTTTATATGTTTATATGTATGTCGTATAGGAGTTCTGCATAAAATAAAAAATATCAGTCAGGCATTAAAAGTGTCTTAAAGTAATAGAACTAAATTATTTTAATTATTTACAACAAATTCTGCGGCCATGATCCGGACGTTACATGGTTAAAAAAAAGAAAATAATGTCATTTTCTAACGTTTTATATGTTTATATATATGTCGTATACGAATAACGATTCTGTATAAAATAAAAAATATCAGGCAGGCAATAAAAGTGTCTTAATAACATTTTATACGTTTATATGTATGTCGTATAGGAATTCTGCATAAAATAAAAAATATCAGTCAGGCAATAAAAATGTCTTAAAGTAATAGAACTAAATTATTTTAATTATTTACAACAAATTCTGCGACCATGATCCGGACCTTACATAGATAAAAAAAAGAAAATAATGTGATTTTCTAACGTTTTAAATGTTTCTACCTCTATATACATATACATACATACATAATAAAGATAATAATGAATAATATAAAGGAACAAAAAATATCAATATTTCCTAGACAAGCACTCTTTCCGAAGCGTTTCATCTTTGGAGACTGATAACGCGATTTCCTGCCTTGGGTGATCCTTGCAGATCCCTATCTTATCGACTTTGTTTTAATCCTCGTGTCTATTTTCTGATCGATCGCTGTTTTCTCCACGCGATCGATCCCCGTAACAGATTACGATCCACTTACTTCGCTTCCGGAAAAAGATCCTTAATCTTCAACAGCTCCGATTCGCAATCTACGGTCATCTTATCAACTCCCACCTTTCTCGCGAATTTAATGTGCGAGGGGAGTTTCGTCGGGTTGGCGAAGATGATCCGCTCCCCGGGAACCCCGAATTGCATAACTTGTCTGATTTCATCCTGGAAGAGATTGAAAACATGTTTCACTTTTTTTTTTTTCCTAACTGGGTGTCGCAAATCATTTCATACTTTAAAACGTGTATATGAAGACCCTAAGGTAGGTCCTGAAAGTCGGGAAATTTCATTTTTTATAAACAATTTTCAAAATACCTATAAACAAATTTGAAAATAATTGAAATTTCATGAGTTTCAGGACCTTCCTTATAGTCTCCCTATTCACGTTGTAAAGTTTCAAACTATTCGGTAAATCGAGGTGGGAGAAAAGTTTTATAAACAAAACCTCTTCGATGCCACTTTCACATCACCTTAAGGGGATGTGAAAGTGGCATCCGAAAGCTCGATCGTTCATAAAACTTTTCTCCGAACTGGGTGTCGCAAATCATTTCATACTTTAATACGTGAATATGAAGACCATAAGGTAGGTCCCGAAACTCGCGAAATTTCATTTTTTACAAACTATTTCTAAAGTATCTATAAACAAATTTTAAAAGAATTTAAATTTCATGAGTTTCAGGACCTTTCTTATAGTCTCCCTATTCACGTTGTAAAGTTTTAAACTATTCGGTAAATCGAGGTGGGAGAAAAGTTTTATAAACAAAACCTCTTCGATGCCACTTTCACATCACCTTAATATGTTATGCTACAAGAGAATCATTTTCTTTACGATTCGATTTAACGATGTCTTTTTATTAACAAGGAAAATTGGATTGACTTACGAGATGATGTTTTAAAATATTTAGGTTTTTCTTATTATAAAGCATAATTATTAACGAGGAAATCATTACCTGAGAGGCGCAATCGAATCCTGCATTTAGAGCTGCTAAAACTTTAATCGCCGTCGGATTTGGGTTGCATTTCACGGCTGCAAAATAAAAAACAAATTGTATGTACTTATAAGAAGTACCTATTTTTACACCACGCCAGAGCTCTTTTTCAAAGGAAGATCTTATCAGGGACAAAAATAGAGAGCAGATAATGGTCGGTATATGACACTCCTACAATTAGATAATGAAGTGGATGATAAACTCCAAAACAAGTAACATTAATTTCGAAATCCGACAATGATTAAGTCAATAAACCGATCCATTTGCGGGATACTTTTTATAGATGATATTATACAAGAAAAATAATATCTACAATTTTATGCGGCATTTTTATGTGTACACACAAAGTGTATGCGTAATTATGTGCATTATTTATGAATGATATTATACAATGATTTTATATTCGAAAAATAATACCGGCGGGTTTATGCGTGATTATATGCAACATTGTTTATAGATAATACTATACAAAAATGTTATACACGGAAAATAATACCTGCGGTTTTATGCGGCATTGTTATGTGTACACACAAAGTGTATGCGTAATTATGTGCAATATTATTTATGAATATCATACAACGATTGTATATTCGAAAAATAATACCTGCAGTTTTATGCGGTATTTAAATGTGTACACACCAAGTGTATGCGTGATTATATGCAACATTGTTTATAGATGATACTATACAACAATTTTATACACGAAAAATAATACCTGCGGTTTTATGCGGCATTTTTATGTGTACACACAAAGTGTATGCGTGATTATGTGCAACATTGTTTATAGATGATACTATACAACAATTTATACACGAAAAATAATACCTCCGGTTTTATGCGGCATTTTTATGTGTACACACAAAGTGTATGCGTAATTATGCGCAATATTATTTATGAATGTTATCATACAACGATTTTATATTTGAAAAATAATACCTGCAGTTTTATGCGGTATTTAAATGTGTACACACAAAGTGTATGCGTAATTATGTGCAATATTATTTATGAATGATATGATACAACGATTTTATATTTGAAAAATAATACCTGCGGTTTTATGCGGCATTTTTGTGTGTACACGTAATTATGCGCAATATTATTTATGGATGATAGTACACAACAATTTTATACCCGAAAAATAATACCTGCGATTTTATGCGGAAATTTAAAAGGAATTGAAATTACACGAGTTTCAGGACCTTCCTAATAGTCTCCCTATTCACGTTGTAAAGTTTCGAACTATTCGGTAAACCGAGTTGGGAAAAAAGTTTAATAAACAAAACCCCTTCGACGCCACTTTCACATCACCTTAAGGGTTCGGAGAAGAAGACAATTCGATGGGTAGGAAGTACGGTCAGCGACTAGAAAAGGCTTTTCCGAAGAATCTTTTTGCGGATAATAAATTCCCTTCAGCATATTGCTTCGCCGAAAACTCTTCTCAAAGTAACATTCTATGAACCTCTGTGCTATGTACAATATTTCTGCCGTCCGGGATGATAAGGATTTAGCGATTACCAAAATGCGGAGCAACTCTGGGCATTTTCGAGATCCAATTTCTATGCCGTGTGACGACATCGCCAATGTCGAAAATATGAAAAGGGTCCTCCGATTGTTCCGCCTCGGCGATGCTCTCCACAATCTCCAGGGTGTCCATAGAGTCATCGAAGATCCTGATCTCGTCGAAGTTGCACTGAGACGTCATGCCGGGTGTCATTGCACGATCTCAAGAAAGACTATACACGAAGAGCACGACTCGGTGTTCAATGGAATAAGTAGCACGTATAAGTAGTAGGCCCGATAAGCCTAGCTCTTTTTATTTCCCGTATTGGCTCTGTCTAACCACGTGTGTATGTGCGCATCCTGATAAGGACAGTTGTCTTCGAATAATCCTCGTGTTATCTAATGCACTTCAGCGCGTCACAACTTTGCCATCTCTCCTTATTAATGATATCCTTGTCCATAAAGAGAGGGTGTCGGGAATATTGTTCGTGACAATGCACGAATGTTCCTTCCTCCGACAATAGCTCGAGATAAGGACCGTTTCGGTGAAAGAATATCACTGCAAATGGAAATAAAATCATTTGCCATGTAATCATTCCCAGAATTAAATATTCTCTTTATAAATTCATTTATAACTGTATAATTCAATTTTCTACTCCTATGTATAATCATAATAAATGAAGAAGTCATTGCCAGGCGTGTATTACAAATGTGCAAATTGGTACTGAATATACTTATTGTTATTCAATCTCAATATATATCTTTTGCTCGAAATAAATACACATATGTATTTGGCTCGAAACTCTGCCAGGCTTCTAAAGTAATGCGCGGATATTTTGTTAACATTTTATCTGGGATAAGGATCTCATTAACTCAGGATTTTATTTTATTTCATTATTCAAGGACTTAAAGTTTCCTTCCACGTGTTTGGATTTTTTTTTTTATTTACAAACACTATCTTTCTATCATTTTGCCGCAAAGATCTCTTCAAGATAGTTGACGAACCAATAAATGCTGATATAGACAAGGTCGGTACTAACACATGTATTGTTTCCTTGAGACATGTTACGCCATGCACTTGTCCTCCCTTAATTGAAGTTAACGGTTAACTATATTTTTTTGTATCATTTACACGTTACTAAAGGGCTTAAAGTTTTCTTCCTCGTGTTTAGTTTCCTTCTTTTAATTAACAAAAATAATTTTTCAATAAGTTTGCCGCAAGGACCCCCTTAAAATAACTAGATATCCCCTTAAAAGTACCAATAAAGGCCGATATAGTCAATGTCGATACATGTATTGTTTCCTTGACACATGTTACGCCATGCACTCGTCCTCCCTTAATTGAAGTTAACGATTACCGAGTGTGTTTTGTCGCTAGGTTCCCCCGAGAGTCGCAAAACACCTTCTTTTCCGGTCCAAGGCGATACATTGCAGAAGAATTCCACTATGAGGGGAAATTCCCTAGCAGGTGAGCCGACGTTGCGATTAGATTCGATTTTTGATTCAATAGTCGCCTTCCACGCCCACTAGTGCGCGAGCGCGCACTTATCTCACGCATCCCGATACGCGCAGATGTGGACGCCATTTTGTTCGTGGGGGGTACTCGAATATTCTTCGAAAACTCCTTCTAGAACGGTTTCAAGAAACGCAGGAGCATGTTAGGTCGTTACTCATATCTCACTTTTGAATCTGGTAGGAAAACCTACGTGTATTATTATTTTCAACGCCAATAAACGATGGCGCTTATTATACTTCGCAAAAGTTTATAGACTGAGCAGATACGGACAGACCTATGCGTAATTTAATTAATTCAAATTAATGACACCAAAAACGCATAAAAGTGTCAAGAGCGTATATATACAGGTTCCATGTATTTCCCATTTTTCGGCAGAATATGAAACGCGCATTTATAACAAGCCATGACATTACATTAGAAACATCCATATCTTAACTAGAAACCCACTTAATATAATCATTCATATTCTAAATGTCCGCCAAGAAGTTGAACCATTTACTTTTGTCCAAATTGCACAAGACGCTTTCTTATAGTCGGTCCCGGTTCCAAAATGGCGGACGCCGCCGTACTTTCCAAAGAACGCGTAATAATTTCGTCCTCTACGCGGAACAATTGAATTCATTCCGTGCAAATCCTCCATAAGTCCGTTAAATTCCATTTAAAATTCCTCCAAATATGATACACGAGGGGAGGGGAGCATGAGATGCCAAATTTCGTTAAATACGAGGAAACTCGCAAAGGTGGCGGCCATGTTTGTTCTTCTTATCGCCGAGACCTCTCCCGGACTCTCGAGGAGTGTCACCGCGTATCTTCCTCCGTATTTCTCGTCGAGGATTTCCATCAAAGCACGATAGTCCGCAGGGGGGCAGATATCGCGATAAGTGGGAAAGATATTTCTAGAGCAGGTTGTTTTGGCAAACAAACAACATCGACATTGTTTGCCCTGGCCTCCTATCGGCGTGACGGCGAATCGCGCGACGGAAGTCAAAATTAAAATCCGCCAAACAAGTCTTCGACTTATCGGCCTCCCGCCTATTTTTCCCGATCTAAAAGTGAAGAATCAGACGTCTACGTACTTCGATAACGATCGATAAATAAACGTAGAGATGCACTCATACCCTGGTGACTTGTTCGGACTGTTCGGAGGTCGATTGGTGAAGTCTCGAGTGCCTCTTACGAAAGGAAATTAATCCCTTATCCGACTAACGAGGATTCTCTCATCTGAACTAACCTATAAACTTAAGGTGAAGTGAAACCCCCTTCAAATCAGTCGATTCGAATACAACACTTTTTTTTTAAGGTTATTGGACCAAACTGTCCGAAACTTTGACACATGATCATCTAAGAATTGTCCTGACACATTCAAAATTTGGATTTTTCAACAAAAGTTCTTACCTCAGCCCAGAGAAGAACCAAAATGGCGTCGAGCTCTCATATTTCGATCGATATACAATTATCGAAGGCTCTGATATGAGAAGCGAAAGGATCAGGACAATTTTACGACAATTTAGAACACTCTGGTAATCGATAAACTCGCATTTGAACGGAATAAAGGCAAAAAAAGTGTTGTATGCGCTTGTATGCCAAAACGATGGTAATACGAGGTCTCGGAATAAAAATTTAGTTGACCTGGAAATCACAGATGGCGCAGGGGGTTCTCTGCAGTCAACTATGACCTCAAAAACCATGAATCCAGGGGATTTCTTCAGTTTAACTTGGATTTCTTTATAATTATTGTACAAAAACAAAAGGTGGAGTATGCCATTTGGTGCAATACCCAATATAAATTGACTTAGCTGTTGACATAAAAACGAACGTCGGCAACGTACGCATTTAGAAAAATCATCTTTATCGACGTCGATCAAGTTCCTCGACGAGTTTCACCTCACCTTAAATGAATACATTGAAATATATTTACAAGGATAATCTACTATTTTACATGATGGAACACAGAACATATCATAATACTCAAATACGAATATACTTTTTTTTTTATTTCGATGCTTCTCTCCGGATACAAGATACAATAATAGTACACCTAAATCCCAAGGATGGTGCCTGAGCTATCGATTAGCTGGATCGATCCCTTGATGACTCTACCTAATTATTGTTGATACATCTAGATAAGTCTTTGCGTCAGTCTTAGTGACATGATTTATTTAACCGGATAAATAGGGTCCTACGGCAAGTATCTTTGATTTCAAATTTCATTACATTATTACTAGCCTATGTTTTCGCGTTATTTTATCGGTGAAAAAGTACAAATACCTTAAAAAAATTCGACATTTTTGGTCTTAAGGATGAACACTCTAAAGATGTTCTACTCACTAATCGCAGTATTTGGTTGAAAGAGTCGCTCTTGGAATACAATAGTTTCACACAGGAAACTCAAGACGTCTTAAGGTGATATGAAAGGCTTTCATATCACCTTAAAGGGTGACAATGTACAGGTAGTAAAATACAGATAAAAGTGTGAACTTTAAACGAGAAATGTTGATAAAACAATTAAGATGCACGCAGGACTAGTAAAGAATTGAATGTCTATATACTTAACGTTACAGTATATAAAATAATCATTATCACGAAAAGGCTTTACTGGCATTCCCTATCTTTTCTCACTTCTCCACATCTACCTTTAAAAATAAGAATTAAAAGCGTGCTTTTATCGACCGCGTTAATTCACTGTTAAACGTAAACTAATACCTACTTAAACGCTCATAAATGTTGTATAAAAAGAAAACTGGCACTATACATGAAAATATAATTCCTTTTAAAAATAAAGAGTCTATATAAAAATACGAAAATAGCGTGCTTTCAGACGACAGTGGAAAGATAAAGCGTTATGCTTATCAAACACCTCGTATTTGTTAACTGCAATTTTGCCGTTCATTAATATTAACCTTCGAACAGCGCAGTTGTATCAAAATATTCACATCATAATGCACGTATGTTACATGAGAAATTGCGTGCGTTACATTTACAAGAGAATTACTTAGTGACACGAAGAATACCAATTCTCTCGTAGCTGGTCATTTCTGTTTCTCTTTTCTTCAAGTTACTTCACCGCGGAAGATTACAATTGATCAGAATAGTATTACATTTACAGGAATTTTATCTTCGCAATGTGTTTAGCAAGTGTCCTAAGTGTAACGCTCTTTGTACTTGGCACTTAAAGGAAATGCTATTAAGTACGTACCTATAGTATCTAAATATTAAGTACTCCTGTGCTTAATCACCTACAGGAAAAATGCATCGAACAACTATACCATATTAAGCACCTTTATAAATGGAATCCTGCCGAACCTTTATATTAAAAGTGCAGCATACCTTGGTCATGCATAAAATGACTGCGACGATTTTCCATTTGGCATAGATGGGAAGTGTGCGAGTCCTTTGATGTACTGTTACGATGAGTGACACTAGTCAAATCGACAACATCATCAGCTTCATCGTCACTGCTTGTGCTGGCACTCTGCATAGATTGTTGACTGTACGATGATACTGGACTATTACATAACAATGAGCGTGTTTGACGAGACCGTAATGCACTTCGTTGATTTGCTGGTTTCACCGTTATTATTAAATTAGAGGCATTGGCAATCATCATATCAGTTACCTAAAAGCAGTATTTGTCTGTTATAAATTTTAACACACACATTGTTTAAAAGGAAAAAGAGTTATCAACTTATGTCATGTTCTTGCTGTCCAGTTAAGTAGACATTTTTACCTGATCCAGAGTTTTCCCTGCGACTTCTATACCATTAACTTCTAAAACTTCATCATTCACTGCGAGCAAGCCTGAACTTTCTGCCAAGCCTCCCGGAATAACTCGACTGATGAATACTGCTGGAATTTTCTCCAATCCCCCACCTGCTGAAATAGGTAAAACTCGAAAGCTCTCTCCTTCCTTTATATAGAATCCCAGCGGCTTATCCGAACCGTGTTTCATGAGTCGCACACGTCGGCAGGTTTCTGGTAAAATATCAACATCGATTATCGCAGAAACCTAAAAGAAATATGTAGGATAAATTCAACTTATCACTGATAATGTGATCAAAGGATATTTAATGACATCTTTCCTAATAATTCGACCAACCTGACGGAAGTTATGCGGTTGAGATATTTGAAGATTTTTTAATTTTCCAGGAGTTCCGTGTAAAATACTCGAAATAAGATTTCTTGATTTCATTGTATTGCAACCATTTACTTCTTCCACACTACGGGCTAAAATGGAAGAAACTATTACATCAGTCGTTATAAGAATTAAAAGAATAATTTACGTTAATTACCTGTACTGTGAATAAAAATTCTTAACAAAGACTTAGCCGTCATTTGCGCTCTGGCGAAATTGTTCTCATTATTAATAGGTAAGAGATCTCCGTTCATAGGGTCAGTATACCAAATGAGAAAGTTTGAATTGCTTCTTATATCGTGCTTCTCCGCAAGACAATTTCTAAATTCTTCATAACTGGCCGGCTCATTACGTTTCATAGAAAATCGTATGATATCTTCATGAAACTGAAAATAAAGTACATATGCAATTTCTTAAACACAAGGTTATTTAACCATTTGTGTCCCAAACAGTGTTATCATGCAGTTTAGATTTCATGTCGAAAAAACCCAGTACATTTGAACGGTATGGGCAACTGACAGTACTCTTAGAGCTATTGAAATTTTGTACTGGCTCTGAGTCTCATATAACTCGGTTTCACACAACGGCATTTTCTAGGAACGTATCTACCGTGTTATAGGAGGGTTACCTGTATATTAAACATTTAATTTACCTTCGTCTTTATCCTTATAAAGTCTGCGTCGGTATGATGCGACTTACTCTTAAACATGGTTCGTCGAATAGATCACAATGTGCGATATTACTGGTTGAAGTTAAAGCACTTGTTATTGCACATTGGTCTTTTATTGCTATCCCGTGCTGCTTGTATCCAACGCAGTAAACTGAATAATTTCCAGGTTACCAAATTTTGGCAAATGGTATATTTAAATCAGATATTAAGATGAATCGAGTAAACCGTAAACTTCGACTTGCGGTTAACCTCCAAATTCAAGTGGGATTAAAACGCAACGTAAATCGCACTTACGAGTAAAACTTCAGTAAAAGTCAGTACATTTTGAATAACAGACAAAACATACGTTTGTCTCGTCTCCCGTTTATTGTATTTCGATGCATTACAAAGAGGTGGCAGCACTTTTCCGAAAAAATGGGAGCGAGTTGATTCAGCGATCACGTGTCGATCGATTCCCTTTCGTTGCGAATCGCGAACCATGATTACAGTCGAAGGAGTAATTTGAAATTCCCAACTTCTGTTACTAGATCTTAAATAACGTTAGAAATTAAGAGAAAATGAGTCCTATGAGACTAGAGATATGGAGAGGCGATTGGGGATTGCCTTCTACGGACGTTAATTGTTTACGCGTGCTGGTACGTATAAGCCGGCAGAGGTTAGAATTTCCAATTTACTTATTTTTACAACCGACTTATAACTCGGATGAAGAAAGTCAAGCTGACCAGATCCAGATATATAAAAAAGACTGTAAATGAAATATTGCATTGCAAACAATTTTCTGATGACCTTTAATTAATCTGATGAATTTATGTGTTTTAATCAGTAGACCTTTTTATGTCAGTTTGGCCTTAGGTGTCTCTGTACCTCGAGGAATAATGTGATTTAATAAATATCCTACGTGTTCGTTATTTCTCTTAGCATTATTCTATATACCCTCATTTTTTTTAGGCATATGCCAAATTCTCCGAAGCTCCTTTAGAGGTTATGGCAACAAGTAATCCCTTCCGAGCCCCGAAAGGCCAGTTGCCCGTCTTAAGATGCGATGCGCAGACCTTAGCTACGCCAAAGGACATAACGGCATTCCTTAACGCAAGAAATTATACAACTGACTTTGGACTGAATTCAAAACAGTGTGCCGAAGTATTAGCATATGACACGATGCTGAAAGATAAGCTTTATCCAGCACTTCAGTTCATATGGTATTTCATATTTCTGCAATATTCCAACAAAAACAGTATATACGCCCAAAAATTAAATTACACATTGATAATTAAACATAGGAAGTCCGAATAAAACTAACGTAAGCATAATGCATATAATTTATAGGTGGGTTGATCAAAAGAATTGCACCGAAATAATAAGACCATGGTATGGCAAGGCTATTCCTTTTCCCTTAAGTTTGTATTATCCTGGGAAATTTGAAAGGCAAGCGAAAGCAATGGTGGAAGCACTTTATCCCCTTGAAGATATTAGTGGGATAGAAAACGAGGTAATAGCATTTTTTTACGTAAACAAATCCTGAAAAGAAATGTTTAGTATCAATAAAAATTATCCAAGTATTTTCATTATACCTAAAACATTAATTCTATACATTTCATTAAGTCTTAACGAGTACCCCAAATTGCAGGTATACTCCGAAGCTCAAAAGTGCTTAACATTGTTGTCCACGAGACTAGGAGAGTCCCATTATTTCTTTGGAAGTGCTCCTACTTCTCTCGACGCAATTATATATTCCTACTTGGCTCCGTTGCTCCAAGCGCCAGTGCCAAATGCTGCCCTTCAGAATCATCTGAAAGCCTGCGGAAATCTGACTCAATTTGTGACGAGGATTACTCAGAAATACTTTCCAGATGATTACACAAGGTACATGAAGCAAAAAGCAGAGGAGAACGCACAGAAACTAAGAAGGGACTCGGACAGTGAATTCCCTAACAAGAGAAGAAACCAATTTCTGGCAGGGCTCTGTGCTACTCTAGCGATGGTGAGCTACGCCTTGTCGACTGGCATCGTACAAGTAAGTTCGATCTGAATCCACTATCGTAGGCAATTCAAATGGTCCCGCTTGTTTCCTTGACATTGAAAAACCGTCAGACTTATATTTTAACAGATACATGCAGTCTATTTGTAGGTGCTAGTCTATTTAATAAGGCGCGGAAAGTTTATTAAACTACCTAAGAAAAAGAAGAGACGTGAGTATTTGCTATCGCCTAGTTTCTTAGACCGGTTCAGTAAGTTACGCTCTCTCTTTCAACTTGAGAGTGACATTATCCTTCACCTACGAATCCTTTATCCTAGTCCTTGTTCTCCTTCGAATATAAGACTAATGCTTTATGATGAAATCCTTTTATCAACAATTTATGACGTCAAGGTACACATAATTCAGGTCTTTTCTTTTAAAAGCGATGCTTAAGCCGAATTCGAAATCTAATTCTGACAGTGCAATGATGTCGAAATTGAATTTCAATTTCCATTATCAGAGTTATAAATTGCGATATTTCGTTTAATGTAGTACGATATGGTGCAACGAGACCATTGTCATTTTTATTTAGTTATTCCAGATCCTTGATTTTATTTTCAACAATGTCACCTGGATTTGCAAGGATCACTAGAGTAAAGGATTTGTGCAGACATGTAAAAACATTGTTTTATCTGTGGTATGTTATTGTTAATTGTCCTTATTTATACTCTGGTGATCCATTGCAGATCCCACGTAAGGTGAGATGTTGGATACGTGGTTCTCATAATGGGCAGACTGATGAACCGAGCATAAAACTGCTGTGGTCTTCCGATAAATTTGCATCGAACAAGGATCACTGGAATTTTTACGAATAGCTGGGCTAGTAGAGAAATGAACTAAACAATCTTTGATACAATTTCTTCTATTCTATCTTCAGAGTTTAAAATCCATCTTGATATTTTCTATATTTTGATATCTTTCTGAATAATTTTCATTTTTTGTATTTGTATGTACACACGGTTTTGTGATAAAATATATATTCACATCGTTGAAGACAGAATGGAGCAAAAATGTGCAATATAAGACTAATTTTTACACGTCAAAGTATTTTAACTAACTTTTGCATGCGAATGTATTCTATTGGTACGAAGACAGAGAAACCACATATGTTTGTTGAAGGTTCCAACAAAGGATGACAATAACGTGGACGCTATGCTGGAGTATAGTTTTGACGACCCAGAGACTGAGGAATGATTATTGCAATCTTCGCACAGGTTTTGTTACACCAGTTAATAATAAAACATTGATTAAAATCAACGACGCTCGGGGATTTATTCTTCACCTGGATTAATTTTCGAACATTCTAGATTTAATCCTTGACCAAATTGTTTAAGGCGTGAGCTTTTTAACTTCTTCCCTATCCACAATCGTGCTTTGTTTTAATTACAAAAGTAAACCTAACCTAAGAATAATCTAGTCTTTGTTATATTTTAATTATAATGTTTAATTATGAATGCAGTTTTTACAGTAAAAAATAAATATAAGCATATAATTACAGTGGTAACAAATGTAGATTCATGTTTTCTTACTTGATTGTTTATTTACGCCTTAGACTATGCTTTGTAATTAAACCAGTCGTAGCGGATTCGATCTCCTCCATGAAACTCTCAAAATTCTGAATTGTTGTACCGCCAAGAATGACCTTCGTTCCAGGATTCTGTTTGTTTAAGTTATGAACGGTCAGGCTTTCTTCATAGGTTGCGCCTCCAATTATGAAAACTATTATGTCTTGCGGTCTACACAGAAAATAAATTTTTGTTAGCGGTTTGTTACTAGATAACATGAATTTATATGCAAGACTTACTATAATCATAAAATTGAACATTATACAATTTGCATTTGTTACCTTCTTATAGCTCCTATGTTATCGACGTAAGGAAATGTTTGTGCATTCAATTTCCCTTTTAGCAGGTCCTCTAAGGTTTCGGCAAGCACAGGAGTATGTTGCGTGTAAATGTTATCCACCCCACTTAATCCTTTAAACAGTTTCTTTGTGATTTTGGCGACAGATTCTCTATCGAACAAATTATTTTGTCGCACATGGGCTCCGCTGTATTCTAACATGTTATAAATCAGCTGAAAAGTAGCAAAAAATTACATTAAACGTTCAATGAAACTAAGGAAAGTATGAAGGATTGAACAAACCTTTGTATACTTTTCGGAAACTCCACGTTTCTTCAACATGTCTAGAAGACCAGTTATGTCATTGTTTGCATGCTTCTCGTAATGTAATGCATACAACATGACAAGTCGTGTTGCATCGATATCTCTAACTTTTGAGTCAGAAATAAGTCTTTTAATCTTTTGTAACTGAAAGGACGAAGCAGAGATATCAAGAAACTCGGTAGAGTTTCAAGCAAAATACATTTAACCGAGAATCTTGTCAGTTTCGAGCCAAATACATTTAAGCACGAAATTCATAACGTCGTTACATAGAGAAGAACTTTATCTTAATCATAACGAAGAGAACTAGGATTAATAAGAGTCACCGAATGAAGTTCTGTAATACTAATTACCTGCGGAGAGTGTTCATTTTGACAACTGAGCTGTTGCTCCAATTCGGACACTGATAACAAGTTGTATTTCTCAACTAACGACGACAATTCACCAACTACGGTGACATGCTTCGAAACAGTACCAGAGAGTTTCTTGAAAAGAGGATAAGTTTCCACAAAATGCTTCATGTCACTTATGCTCTCGACTTTCTGATGTTTCTTGGCTCTTTGCTGAAAGTCCTCCATTAACTCCTTAATTGTTTGGCCAATTTCTCCAAAGTTCAGGTACAAGTTCTGCAGGAAACCAGTCTTTAGTTAGAGCGAATCTGGTCGATATACAGTGGATATATGCAAACAGTCAAATTTACTTTACACAAGCATAAAACTCGTCATGTGCTGCACTCAACACGACTTCCTTCAGTTCTTTCGAGATGCCTTTTATGTGCGACAAGTCTACTCTGTTATTACTTATACCTATTAATTCATGAACCATTGCTTGATAAGTCCATTGATTGAGTAACGGAGTGACAGGATCGTCTCTCCTGTCGAGAATTAGTAAAATTGTGTTCGACTCCTGACCAAAGTCAAACTGATTACTGCCTTTGTTTATGACCTCCCTCATTCGCTCTGCTAATTTTCTAGCCATCTCCGAGGTGCTTTGAAAACGTATGTATGGGCACTTCTTTAGCGATAACAGAACAGATTTGATACCCTCGACGGTTCTCTGCAAGTGCTCCGACTTCCATGATAATTTATGAGAGCATGCATTTATGCCAAACGAAAACAAGTGCGGGTCGATCGCCAAATAGTCTGCATAGAACTCTTGAACTTCTCGAACCACTTCTTGCTCGTCATTGTCAGCCAGTAGTTTAACATTTTCTGGTGTGATGCAATTACTAAAATCTTAAGACAACACATATTCTTTACTATTCCACGTTCTCTATGTGATATTATTCATAAAACAATTAAGTAATTCATATCTGTAGCACGAGTATATTATGCCAAAAAAAAAAAGAAATATTTCAAATTAAGGAAAGATAGAAAAAAAAGTGTCCTGTATATGTAAGAATTATGAAATACTTACAAATGTAATATGTTCCATATCTAGGATATCTAAGTTCGTTACAAAGTAAGTCAACGTTCTCCTTTGTTGGTCGTACAAACACGATGCACTTCAAATGCCTCAAACTTCCGCTGTGAACTGGCCTGTCGATTCTCTCGAATAAATAAACTTCCTTCGTAAGTATTTCCGAGTGACTGTAAATTACACTGACAATACTGGTCTACAATGAGAATATCCCATTATCAACGTCTAAACTTTAAATTCAATATTATTATTTACGTATTGTAGTATAACCTAGAAATCGAGAGTGCCTTACCGTTTGTTTATCCATTAAAAGAATTTTCATGCCCGGCCCACTTTCCTCCGTCATCCTAGCGACGTAAAGCTTTATTGCCATAACAACGTTCATCTTGACAGCGATCCTTTCAATTGATTATCTATTATTGCGTATATCTTTTTACCTGTTTGACATCTACGCTTCTGCCATTATATACATGACATATGTCACCTGAAGAGGTTAACTACATGTCCCTTATTTTCTACATTTGAAAGCGTGTATACGAGTGAGATAGCTAATTTGTGCGATGTTTTCCTTTCATATTTAATACGTTTACACCTTCTACCTTACGCCGGTTTTATAACTTCTTGTGTAAACGCCGTTTTACCGGTAACCGATATAAAACGATATTGATACCAGAGGGTCTATTACGTAAAGCAAATTGAGCGAAAATGTGAGAAATGAGTAGTTCACGGAATTACGGAACGTTTTCGGTGGTGAAAATGCGAGACCATTCATATGAATTGGCTCGGCAAAAATTTTTAAACGAAATGGTGAAGCATAGACTCAAGTCCTCTTCTTTACTTCTAACGGCTTTTCATCTTCCCGCCTTTCTTGCATATAATACACTACCTCTAAACAATTTTCGATTTACAAGGTATTTTACGTAAAAAACCTCGAATGACGCGTCACTGCACAACCCTGGTTGATACAAGCGAGATTCAATGCCAACAGTTATAAAACCGGCTTGAGGGAGACTGTGTAAACGTACTATTGGAATTAATTCGTCCTGCCATCTAGCGGCCTGCGCGATAACTACACATTGAACACCCAGTGTCAACCCAGGATTTGAACCTCTAAACTTCTAAACCCATCGGTATAAACTGGTGAACATATACTCCAATTTAATATCCTAACTCAAAATTAAGGTTCCGATCTCTTTCAATCAATTCCTGTACGTCAAAAGCACACGATCACCTGCTCGACGATGGCAGGCCTTGCAGGTTATCAGAAAGTTTACCGAGGAAGGCAAATGGAAGAAGAGATCGGTGCTGGTGTTCCGAATAAATATTACGGCAGAGAGGTTATTCGTCCTCTGGACATCCCCGTTATACATCCTTTGGCAGAAGACAGTCCTCCAGCAGACGCCGATGGTAGATTCGACATCCCTGAGCACAATTTATGTATTGCATCGATATGATTGCGATTTCACATTTCAGACTTCCTCGTAAAGAAGTACATTGGGATGGGATGTGGCTTGGCGAGCTTGATCACTGAGAACTTGTTGATCCATCCTTTTATCATCCTGCGGAGACAATGCCAGGTGAATCCCACAGCTCAGCGGTATCATTTGGTTCCGATAACGCTGATACCGGTGATGATTCGCTTACATCAAAGCCAAGGACTGAGTACCTTGTGGAAAGGAATCGGTTCCGTTTTGTTGGTCAGAGGATTAACCCTTGCCGTTGAAGATCTCGTCTCTAAAATCACATTTTGGCCAAAGTTAGTTGACCGTCGAGTATTGGATTGGCTAAAAAAATCCTGCGACACTTTGCATCTTCAATTTTCAATTTTGACGGAACACTCGCAGAAGCGAACGTTTCTTCTCGTTGAGAAGTAATTTGATAAATAAATATAAATTTCTAAATTGCATAGTGTCACAGGACTTTTCAAACCAATAAGTTTCTGACTCAAGTCGATTAGCTTGTTCTGATTATTGGATTCATTTATTCAGGGAGATCTCTTGGAACAGCAGGCTGAAGGCGTTTGGTCAACACGTCCTCTTAAAATGGTTGGTAAGGGACGACGAAGTAATTATAATATATTTTTGATACAAAGTATTAATCCTGTGTTGTACAGTGTGTCTATAGGCATCGTAATGCCATTTTACTCGGCTTCGTTGGTGGAAACGGTCCAGTCAGAAATAGTTTCTGAAAGACCCGGCATCTTGGATGTATTTCGAGATGGAGCTATGCGAGCGATCGAAATAAGCAACAGAGGAACTCTGCTGCCAATCTATATCCTGCTTCCTCCGACTGTTGCATATGGAGTCGCCAAGTACTTGTTTAGTCTTCCTATCAGAAGTCTCACTAGTCGAATTATGCACATCAGGCATAAACACTCTCAGGAACTACGGGTAAGAACACTACGAACTATTATTTACTATCCTCGGAGAAAAATTATCATATCAGGGATTCCCTCGCATTCAAATGCTTGAGAAATAATTACTTTTCATAAATCAATAACAAAAATTAACAACACAAGATTTAATAATATAAAATATCAAGCTCTTTAGTACTACATAATTAGATGACAGAAAAAAGAATTAAACCAGTTCGATTGAATATATTTTGGTTCAAAATATATAACAATCGTGTCATTACAGAAATTATATTCTTTTTAACAGGTGCGATAGCAAGTTTAATTGCGAGTAGAACGCTGCAAAAATTTTTTAAATATTTATTCAATCTCGAGTTGATCATACGTATGTAGATTAATTATTTTTTTTGATAGTCTTGGCAGGACAGCTCTCTTAAAAGTTAGGTTATAAACATACCTCTCTTTACAGGGTGGATTTAAAATATTTGTCCATTCTCGAGTTAATCATACATATATAAATGTATGATTAAACAATGTTAAAGCGTTTTACCTACAATTCCTGCCTATAAATTAAATGTTACACGAAAAAGACTCAATTTTTTCGATAACTGGCAGGACAGTCCTCTTAAAAGTTAGGTTATAAACGTACCTATTTTTGCAGGGTGCTTACAGTCGAGATCTCGTGTCGGAGAGCGTGGTGCAAGACATAGAGTTGCAATCGACTCTAATTTCCATGTACACTGCGGACATTGTATTCTACCCATTTGAAACAGTTATTCAGAGGTTGCATCTGCAGGGAACCAGGACGATCATTGACGATTTAGACTCTGGACGTAGCGTCACCCCACTAATGATGCACTGCACCGGAGCTGTCGATTGCTACAGAAAAATCATATCCAGTGAAGGTCTCTTCGGTTTGTACAAGGGTTTCGGTGCTCTAGGTTTACAATTCATCGTCCACGTGCTGGTGCTGAAAGCGACAAAGTGGATTCTCATCGAGTTAACCAACATGTTAAGGCCAAGGCCCAAGACGAAAAAGACAGCAGCGATCCCACCATACTGTCCAGAGCTGTAAACTTATACAAAAGCTTTACACACCAATTTCCGGTGATTCACCCAAAAAGAAAAAAACTTGTCACAGACAAGTTATGAAATCTGCCCCGAGCCCAGTGGCTGCGATGATAATTAGTGCATCGTAATGAAAACTCGTGGATAACCTTCCCAGTGGGTTACTTGTGCGTTCTCGACCCGTTTAAATAATGCACAGTAGATCTTTACAACTAATTAATCGTAATAAATATAGATCTATAGATAGTATCGGAAGGCTCATTAGAAGAAGCACTTTCCGATACCCTTTCGATGGGAGATAAACTCCCTCGCAGGGTGAAGGCATCCCCTTGGACTGCTCGATAAGCAATTTTAACTCGCCATTGTTGTTACTATATCGGAGGATGTTAGGCGGATTATATTATCAGGTATTTAGTCGATATATCGAGAAAGCCCCTCGGAAACCTGGGCCTCGTATCCGAGACATGCGATCAACTATTAGTATCGATTTATTATAAATATACGTTCATACAATGTAAATTAGCTAGAATAATAATTTCAGTTTCGCAGTATCGGTCTTTAAGAGCCACAGGGCCGCGTCTTTGCCCCCTCGCGTTAATACGCTACGGAAGTCGCGAAATTGTTCCCAATGGAGTTTCCCATTTCATGGGAAGAAAGGGTTAACCGCTTCGTGCCACTAGCCATCGTCAGACTTGACTATTTTCGATATCACAAATTCAATCCGTTACGATCACTCGACAATCCAGGACAAGTGAAACATCTACATACCCTTATTTTAGCGGTACACTGTTCAATTGGAATAGCTATAGATTTAGCAGGAGGATTTCACGTTCTTAAGGGGGTGCGAAAGTGGCATCGAAGAGGCTTTGATCATGAAACTTTCCCTCGAACGGGATTTACCGAATCGTTCTGGACTTTACAATGTGAATATGAACGCTATAGAGAAGGTCCCGACACCCATGAAATTTCATTTCTTGTAAACAATTTTTAAAATACTNCATATCGCGGCCGTCGACTAAAGTCGACGCTCGGCTGTCAGCGTTCATCTGTGTCTGTCGACTATAGTCGACGCTCGTACCGAAGTGGTTAAATGTGCCCATAATTATGAAACTGATTGAAACTGATTGACTCTTCAGATGCCACTTTTGTACCGCCTTAAAATCGAAAAAAAAAAAAATGGGCAGAACGAAATTGAACCATTAATGCGCGTTCCTTTCGATCAATTAGACTCTCCTGTTATCACTAAAATCGTCGGGTATTTACCGACGTTTCGTTTATCGTGGACTAATCGGATAGCGGGATGAACATCTACAATCGTGCCGCCTTAAGGTGAAATGAAAGAGTCATATGTACATACGAAAAAGTCAAAATATCTATACAACTTTTCTCCAAACTAGGTGCACCGAATTATTCAAAGCTTCATCGCGGCCCTAAGGAAGAGTGCGATGCTCGTGAAATTTCGTTTTTCAGAAAAAAAATTTCTATTTATTCCGGACAAGAGTCAAAGAAAAGAAATTNTATATATATAGAATGACCCTTTCATATCATGATAATCTCGCGAGAAAAGGAAAGGAAAGAGTACCAGCGAAAGATTTATCAAACAAAATTTCGACCCCGTGGCTCCTTGCTCTGGCGAAGCGCAGGACAATTCTAATCGCGAACGATTACAAGGTAATTTCTCTCGTCTCAGGTAAAACAAATCGCCCTGCACGGGTCGACAAGGTGAAAGTAAATCTATTTTCATATATATATTTTTTTCTTTTCCTGTCCCCCAGTATTACTTCTTCTCTCTTCCCCCTCCTAACAGAGTAACCCCTTCATCTCGCCGTATCAATTCGCTTATCTAGAATCCTCCTATCTCCCGCCCGGCCGCTCCGTAGTGGATTTATTCCTTCCTTTTCTAGCCTACCGCTATATACAATATATTACAAAAGAAGTCTCGTTACCTACAGGGCTTTGCACGTGAAAATAATTTCCTTTCCGCTTCCGCTCGTCGTTGCGCCGGGGGTGGAGGTCGGTCGCAGCTCGGTGCAGCTCGCTGCAGGAGCGCCTTCTCTTCCTCGATCTGCGGAACAATTTGTCGTAAATTCCCTCGCATGGATATCCCAAAAGAGAGAAGGAAGAGATAAGAGATAAGAGATATCGGGAGCGAGCATTTATCGGGCCGAGTTTGGGGGGAAAAGTAGCTTCCCGATCTAGGGAATAATTATCGTAAATTCCCTCGCATGGATAATCCAAAAGAGAGAAGGAAGAGATAAGAGATAAGAGATATCGGGAGGGAGCAATTATCGGGCCAAGTTTGGGGGGAAAAGTAGCTCCACGATCTAGGGAATAATTTGTCGTAAATTCCCTCGCATGGATAATCCAAAAGAGAAAAAGAAGAGATAAGAGATATCGGGAGCGAGTAATTATATAAAAACACATAAAACACTTTTCCTGCCTTTATCCCGTTCAAATGCGAGTTTCTCGATTACCAGAGTGTTCTAAATTGTCGTTTGAAACTTTACAATATGAATAGGGAGACTATAAGGAAGGTCCTGAAACTCAAGGAATTTCAAATCTTTTAAAATTTGTTTATAGGTATTTTAAAAATAGTTTGTAAAAAATGAAATTCCGCGAGTTTCAGGACCTACCTTAGGGTCTCCATATTCACGTTTTAAGGTATGAAACGATTTGAGACACCCAGTTCGTAGAAGCTTTATGAACGATTGAGCTTTTGGATGCCACTTTCACATCCCCTTAAGGTAATGTGAGGTAGCGCCGAAGAGGTTTTGTTTATAAAACTTTTCTCCCAACTCGCTCTACCCAATAGTCCGAAACTTTACAACGTCAATAGGGAGACTATAAAGAAGGTCCTGAAACTCATGGAATTTCAAATCTTTTCAAATTTCTTTATAGGTATTTTAAAAGTAGTATATAAAAAATGAAAGTTCCCGAGTTTCAGGACCTACCTTAGGGTCTCCATATTCACGTTTCAAAGTATGAAACGATTTGGGACACCCAGGACGTAGAAAAGTTTTATGAACGATTGAGCTTTCGGATGCCACTTTTACATCCCCTTAACGTTATAGGGTGAGACATTGGTAAGGGTCGAGTTACAAAATCGACTCCTAGGATGCCCTGACGAATAAAAGTGTCTCTTCCCGCCCAATTAATTGGATTTGGCGTTTCGCCTCACCCTGGACCTGAACGACGAGCCAGATCCTCCCGTCTTCACCCTCCAGGGTTAATTATGTACATGCTGAGCCTGCAGCTCGTCCTCGGTGGGTTCGCCTCGCCTCACGTATTGCGGTTTCTCCATTCCACGGACGCAGTCCTTCGTTACGTGGACCGACATCACGTCGCTCCCAGGAACCTCGAACATCGGCTCCAGGAGAAGCGACTCCATGATGGCACGGAGACCTCGGGCTCCGGTTTTCTTCTCCATCGCGAGGGAGGCTATCGCGTCCAAAGCGTCGGCCGTGAACGTCAGGTCGACCTGGAGAAAAAAGAGAACATTGTACACGTGATTTTAAACTGTTCACATGATATGAAAGGCACAGATTTAATCGGCGTTGATCAATTAAAATTCATCTATACACTTTTTCGTGGTAATGTGATTTTGAAGACTCAAGTGGTAACATAAGGACATTTATATTTACGTTGAAGTCTTTTACAGTCTACGTTGAGAATTATACGAACTAAAGCGCCCCATACGTCATTTCGGTAAACTAATGGTAAAGAGACCGACGTAAAACTGTCGAAACCCCTTTGATTCATGATTTCAAGTACTCTAATGGACCAGCGGCGCCATCTGTGACGTTTAGCTGCAACTAAATTTCTGCTAAAAAAGAAAAACCATCTCTACACAATTTATTTGGAAAATCCAAATTATGAAATTGTCAGGATAATTCCTAAGTGCTCACGAGTGATGCGTCAAAGTTTCAGACGGTTGAGTTCAATACCCTTAAAAAAGCGTGTTTTATTCTAATGGACTGATTTGAAAGAGGTTTCGCTTCAACTTAAATACATACATGAAAGTACTCGGGAGAACGCCCTCTACAATATATAAAAATTTATGCGACAATCGGCGAGGATCAGCCTTTCACGCATAATTACCGAATACAATAAAAATCCAGACTCATCGGGAACCAAGAGAGGAAGATCCCTCCCCCATGCATACCTTGTCCATGGAGAAGAGCATCTGGTATTGCGGGACCATGGCGTTCTTCGGTTCGGTGAGGATCCTGACGAGCATGTCCCTGCTGAGGGTGTGGAACGGCACGAGGACGGGGAACCTGCCGACGAATTCCGGGATCATCCCGAAGTCGATCAGGTCCCTGGCCTCGACCTGCCTGAGGAGGACGTCCTTCTCCCGGTTGTCATCCTCGGTCGACGGGGACATATTAGCGACGTCGGCAAGGGTGGCCGCCCTTCGTCCAGGACTCTCCGACGCCGGGGTGGCGCTGAACCCGAGGAACTTTTCGTTCCTACGCCTGGATACGAGTCGGTCGAGGCCATTGTAGGCACCGGAAGCCACGAAGAGGATGTTGGTGGTGTCGACCTGGAGGGTGTCGCCTCGAAGCTTCCTCGAGCTGTTCCTCTCCGGCACGTTGACGATGGTGCCCTCGAGCATCTTCAGCATGCCCTGCTGGACGCCCTCGCCCCCCACGTCTCGGAGCTGGTGGATCCCGGGCACGGCGCCTATCTTGTCGACCTCATCCAGGAAGACGATGCCCATCTGGGCCCGGTCGACGACGTAGTTGGCGTCCTGCAGGAGCTTAGCGATCACGCTCTCGATGTCCTCCCCCACGTACCCGGCCTGGGTCAGGGTGGTGCAGTCGCAGATGGCGAAGGGCACGTCCAGACACTGGGCGATCGTCTGGGCGAGAAGGGTCTTCCCGGACCCGGTGGGCCCCAGCAAGAGGATGTTGCTCTTCTCGAGCTTCAGCTGGTGCTGCTTGCTGTCCAGGATGTCCGACCCGGGTACCGACTGTCCTCCTGCCGACTTTTGCTGCTGCTGCTGGTCGCTACCTGGAGGCACGTGCTGGAAGCCCACTCCTAGGGAACTGCCGATGCTCGATATGTGCAGCAGGTCTGAAATGGATTCGTGGAGGTCACGTGTCTGAGTCGAACAAATTTAAATAATTATATTAAAAGTCAGTGGTAATCGGGATTTAAATCAATTGGTTAAGGTGAAGTGAAACACGTCGAGGAACTTGATCGACGTCGATAAAGAGATCTTTCTAAATACCTATTAAATAAAAAAGAAACTTGTAAATCGAAGCTATGAAATTATGAATTGTATTCAATGCAAGCCTACTTTCCGGGTTAATGACCAGATTTCCAAACCGCGCGAGTCCTCTTCAGGACAAGGAAGCTGTGAATTAAAATCCACAGAAAATGTATTTCCGTTTGGAATTGACTTGTAGAAAAGAGAGTCAGGTATTAAACAAATATGAATCTTATACATCGAAGCTATGAGATTTGGAATCCTATTCAATTCAGTGCCTCCTTGCTGAATCGAAGACTTCCGAGCACCCGAGTCCTCTTCAGGACCGGGTAATCGGGGTAAAATCTTATTTACGTGGCTCGAGACCTCTGCGAGTGAAGGGATGATTGAGTTCCTGAGATCCGACGGGGTTGCTGTTGGCTTGCACCGAGCTCTGCACCGGCATATTGTTGTGAATCCTCTTGTAGTGATTGTACACAGCTACGCTGAGGACCTTCTTCGCATACTCCTGTCCAATCACGTGCTTGTTAAGATACTCGAAAATCTGAAAGAATGAAATTTCGAGCTAGACATCGGTGAAGTCAAGGCCTGGCATGTGCAACAAAGTTGGATACGTAGTACGGGATTTATAAATAAAACGGCAGAACTTTAGATGCCACGTTCCAAAGTTTGGCCCGACCCCAGATTGTCTATTTCCACCACGACGCGTGCCCTTGTTTGTATTTTGACAACTGTCAAAGGCCTCGCCACGCAGCGATTCTGCGTTTAACCCATTACATGCAACTTGCACGAATGAATAACAATGAATATGTGTAACAACAACCAAAGTGCGCAGAATTATTTGTACAAATTTTAGACATATATTCCCATCGATGGATGCAAGAAGATTCTCTCCGTAGTATCTACCGTTTTTGATAAAGAAAGTGAACATTTGTAAACAAATAGCGGGATCTTACACAAACCAGGCTGTTACGACTAACAGTGTTAATCGATATTTATAAAAATAAAACTCTGCGACAGCACGAAAAAACAAGTTTTTTTATCAACAGCGCGTCGCAGTTTTTATCAGAGACCTTGGAGGATATAATTCCCCAATTTTGTTACCACCGGATACTGATAATGCATTTTAAACATGAGTGCTCACTGGAAGGCTATTAATATTAAACTAATCACTCGGTTTTGGATAATATGGCAATTTATGACGTATTGCTTGTACCGATTAACTGTTCGTCGTTATAATCACCTTTTTGGGTGGCGGTGGTGGTTTTCTATAGTATCCTTGTTTAGGATCCTCCGTCCTGAAAGCTTCCTTCAGACTCCTCTTCGAGTCGATCTCTGAGAGTACCACGAAGAAGTGGTGGCATTTTTCACACTTAACGAACCTCGTTGATGCTAGGTTTTTTTTTTTAAAGACAGAGTAACAATTAATTATTTGAACTCTGGCTCGATTATGCCAGGGTCACGCCTTGCGTTTTTTTTCTTCCAAGTGACTACTCATGGAAAACTAATGGGACTCTATTCGATTTAACCGGAACAGTGCGACGCATTTGAGGTTATTTAGCAAATTCAGCAAAAATACATGGCGTGACCTTGGCCTTAGAAAGAAATCATATCAGGTATTGTGAGCATAATTGCCATCTGAGTTACTTACATACGAATGTTTCAACATGAGTGCAAGGATCCCCACACTTCGGACACGTCAAAGTATGTTTCTTGCCACCACCACCACCACTAGTATTGTTTCCCGTGCCGGTTGCACTGGTTGTCGTTCCATTACTTCCAGCATCTTTATTAGGAGGTGTTGGTTCAGTTGGAGCCTTACCCAGAGCCGCAGTTGTTACGAGTGGCCTCACTGCTACTATCCTCACAATTTTGTGCACTGCGAAGAGAGAAAGCGAGATTCGTCACTTGAAGTAAAATTCAAGAAGAAAACAATTATCATATGACATTAACCCATTAAAGATGGAATTTTTTCTTTCAAGTATCTGGTTGCGTAATTAACATTACGTGATGGCGAGTATACTTATCAAATGCAGAGTAAACACACATACTGTCAATGCGTTGCAATCATTTGTTCGACTTAGATGTTTAATAATCGAACATATTTAAATATAATCTTCATATGTTCCACAATTTTCACATCATTTACTGTCATCGGTTTCAAATGGACTCATCACGATAAAATGTAAAGATAATAGTATTACGACAACTGTGTTTGTATGATTAATATTTAGGTAATTAAAAATATAGGAAGGAAATTCAAAAGAAGTACAAAAAAGCACCCAATGAAGGGATACAAATTTTTAGTTATTAATACATTCTTAATGGAAGCCTATTAATCGGTTTTGCGATACCTGTGATCGCCATTTATCCACATATTCACTGGTAAATAATGTGTTAATAAAGCAATTAATAGATATATAAATATTGTTAATGTGTTTACTACATAAACGGAGATAAAGATCAGATATATATACAAAACGTACCATGATTTGTCACATGAGTCGAGGATGCTAAACGGCCTGCGCTAACCAAGCAACACCGGACGCAACTCATGGTTACAGTCGTACCAGATACTGCGTATTTCCGTCAAAACTATTATTTACCCTATGGAATTTTACGACGGTTCTGAAATCAGATAAGTTATCATGCAGGCATAAATTCTTTTATCCAAGAGATCAACACAGATAATACACGCATACCAAAAGCATCGATGCACCAGCGATTAAAAACAAAAACATACTACCGTTAAGAAATGCTGTACTTGTGAACGTATTTGACGTTTACATGTTAATGCGCGATTTCAATATCAGAGATACAAAGTTCAACTAATCCCAAAAGATGGACCAACACGAACAGCATATGAAATGCGTCACGATATCGGAAAAAAGAATAGAAGTATATAAAGTCAAGGATTGACGTTTTACAATGCATCAATTGGTTCACATTGTCGGTCGATTAATGTCTGTGCCAATAATGCGTCACGTCGTCCAGAAGTCAAAACCGAGACGGCGTAGGATGACGAAATGTTTCGTGCCTCCCCAATTACACCTCGATAGAGAATGGACTAACCTCGTTAATTATTCATCGATCAGCGGAGAACATCAGATTGCAAGAATATTGGTTTAGTGCTTCGAACTAGCTTCGAAATCCGGAATAAATTGCCCAAGGGAATTTAGAGTCAATGGTTTTGGTTCGCCAAGCATGGAGCCTGAGGGAAAAATTAGGACATTAAACCAGCTGAGTCGGAGCTTTGCTATTTCGACATCGGAAGTGGTCCCAAGTTTTGGAATAGCCCGGTGATAACATATAGCAGCAGAGAGTGCGCCGTTGCGTTTCGGGCAAGATAAATACACGTGTTCAAGGCCAGGGACAAATGTTATTGAGCGCGCCACTTGGCTCGTCTTGTCATCTGCGAATCAATGCTTAACAAGATAAAAACTCACGTCACTCGACGGACACGAACGCAAGCGACCCTCGAGGCGGATAAACGTTTCCATTCATTGGTCTACCAACTCGGCGGGGAATGGACTAACCTTCTTAATTAATCACCGAGCATCGAAGATCATCGGGTCACGGTAGATTTCGTCCGGGTTTCTAAACGGGGGAGAAAAAAGATCGGAGAAAGTTAAGCGCGAAATGGTTCGCGATTAGCGAGCGGGTGGTTGTCAAAAAGGAACAACCACGAAGCGAGGACCTGCTCGGTCGAGAAGGAACTGACACATCACGATCGAAAACAATGACAGACTCGAGCGAAAATCGCCCGCCAAGGTCAAGGGACGGCCTCGTCGGCCGTCACTTTCCTGCCGGCGGTCGGCTCGACATTGTAGATGCTATTCGCGAGATCTCGTACCCGCACCGCGCGACCAATTACGCAATTTTTTACCTGTAAACTCACATTAAGCACGCAGAACCTGGCGGCGGCAGTTCCGACGCGAGCCCGACTTGTGGCGAACGGTCGCGCGCGGGTGGCGACACCTGTCGGTCGGCGAGTAACTCTCGCGAGGTCAACTACGAGGCAGGATGGCCAATCCCAAGATGGCGGATTCTGAATTCTAGGGATGTCTCCACAGGGTTGGGTATGTAAAATACTCTAGGTAATTACGTAGTTTTTTACAGTAATTTACTAGGTATTTTACTTTACAAATTTTATACGCGAGCAGGGGGTCAATTATGTAAAGCAAATTGAGCGAAAATGTGAAGAGTGAGTTGCTCAAATGGTGAAGCATACAAGCAGAGATGCTCATCTCTGATACAAGAAAAGAATTTACTAGGATGTACAGGTTAGTTTTTGTTATTCCGAGGTTATATTACATCATTAAACATTGAAAACTGTTAAATAATTCATGTTTATATGACATGTTAAGAAAATTATATCGTTGAACTTCTAATTATAGTACATGTAAATATGAATGTAATACATATTTAAGAAATATAGATAGACTCGAGTTCTCTTTTTTTACTTTTAACGGCTTCTATTTTCCCGCTTTTCCTGTCTATTAACCCACTGCCTCTCAACAATTTTCGATTTACTAGGTATGTACCTTTATTCGCAATATTACTAGACCGGAAGTGTTAGTGATCTCGTTCTTTCATATAGCGAATACGTAATTCGACGAATAAACCCACGTGAAATGAAAGTGCGAGAAGTGAGCGCTCTCGTCAAAAATATGTAATAAACGCCCTGTTAACGTCAAAGTAGATTATAACTTAAATACATTTCCATGAGTAGTGAACTCCGGGTTTTATAAATTCGCGTTTACGGAAAGCGACTGTTCCTACCTTCTCTCCGATTCGTGGATTATTTTTGGTGGGCAAAAGATGTCAATGAAGGGTCGTCTTCAAAGTATTTTGTAATTTAAACATTGTACCATATCCAGGATTTTTATTCACTGTTTAGAGAAGTATTGCCGTACACACGTAAAAAGTGATATTTATACAATATTCGTAAATGTGCGTATATATGCTTTTGAATGCATTTGTATTTTTGGCTCGGAGAATTTTGTTAGGTTAAGTCTTATGGTGCACTTTACATTTGAATTGATGTTTTAAATAATGCGACAATTCGATTTCCAGATTTCCGAGTAGGGAATAGAGAACGTAGAAACGTGTCTGTCAAAAAAGTTCTTCGAACAAAATCGTGAATGTGGAGCACATGGTTACATCCAACGGTAAACAAGTCTGGTTGCACAACGGTGCCGATATTACGTGTACTTTGCAATCCACAGGAGGACCGAGAGGATCCAGCGACATGAGCAAACTTGAAATAAACAATGAGGTATGTTATATCCTTGTCGAAACGAGTTCTAAGTATCTTCAAATATTCGATGTAAGATTCAAAGGAAAAAGGCTTGTTGAATTTTCGAAATAATTCCGCGTAAAGATTCCTCGCAATATCGTCCATGTGTCGTCGATTAAATTTCTGAAAATTGCATTAAGCAGCTTTGCGTATTTACAGATTGTTTTAATGAGGCACGCAGTCCGCCGTGCACGTGTTCACGTTGTGAGGAAGCTGGTGAGGGATGTCAAGACTTTACGAGAAAAAAAAGGTAACGAAAAGCAGCAGGAAAAATATAAAAGGAAAGCAGAAAGATTTGCTAATGAGATTCTGGCCATTAAAAAGGTCAAGGATGATGAGATTTCTCGGTACGCCATTACTAATTCGAGGAGCTTGCAGGAGATTTTAGAAGACCAAGGTTCAGATTCTCAGACTCGCATGATGGCTAGATTGGCTTTTCACAGTACTTTGAAAAATGTGGTATCGAAGTTTAAAGAAAAGTTCCCAGAGTACGAGAAACATTTGGGACCAGGGAAAAGGAAATTGATAAAATTGCAACGGAAGGCTAAGAAACAAGCAGCTGCACAAAAAAGAGTTTCCAAAAACGTTAACAATGAAAATATTGAAGTAGCTGATAATTCCGAAAAGGATACTTCCGAAAACAATGAAATAATTACGAACAGAAGTAGTAATATCGAATACGAAGAGGCGTCAAAAGATCAAGATATTAAAGAAACTCTAAGCAGCGATGAAGATAGTAAAACTTTAGAACCAGGAAGTATTTTGCGTATAAAACCAATTAATATCAATAATGAATCCAAAGATTCAGAAAGGAAAAAGTTAAAGAAGTCGAACAAAGAAAGTACTAAAAATCCGGAAGTCAAATCGCTGGAAGTGAAAAATCATCCTAGAAAAACCTCTGTTCCTGTGAAGGTGACTAAAGAAGCAATGGTAAAGAGATTTACAGAACTGCTGCAGGAAGAAACATCCAACGAAGATTTCAAAGAGAAAGATGACACGGTAAAACCATTACAAGTCGAGTTAAGGAAAGAAGTCGATGCATTCTTTATGACTGGAGATGGAGAAAGGGAATACCTCAGTGTCGCTATTCCAAAAGAAGTAAAAAGTAGTGACGATTATAATAACCAGGATAATTTCAAAAATCCAAAGTTTGCGAAGAGTAAATTCTTTGATAAGATAGATAATTCCAATGGATGGAATCAGAAACCATCAAGAACTCAAGCTCGGCAGAAAAACTACTGTAAATCGAATGATAATTATGTTAGCCAAAGGGCGGAGAGGCCAATTAATGGAAGCAGGAGTTCAAAAGTTCCATTCAAAAGGAAAGAAGACGTTCCTGAGCATTTACATCCATCTTGGGCAGCGAAAAAGAAACAGCAAGAAATCTTAAAGCAAGGATTCCAAGGGAAGAAAATCGTCTTCGGTGATGATTAGTCACCGTAATCACCGTAATTAGGTAGAGCTATATTTGTAAGTTACGTTATATAATTTAATTAGCCAAAATAGAACTTTAAATCATTGTTGTCTATAGTGATTAAAGGAAATAACATTTATACCCGTTGTTGTGAATTGTCTTGTACAAGTGAACTTGTAAGTACATTAGGATATTTAAATTTAGTACGGCATGTATAGTACTCAATTGGACCTCGAATGAAGGAATGATTAATCCTTATTGCTCAACCGTTCCTAAGAATTTCTTTTAGTTCACGTATAATTACCTTCAATTTCCAGTTTTCGCTGTAAAGGTTACAAGGTGGAAGTTTTTGGGATTCATGACATGTCTGTCGTTGACTGCGCAATATCCAAAGTATTCATCGAGGAAAATTTTATCCCAAGGTTTTGAAACTTGGTCCATCCGATACAAAGATTTCCCAATAATTTCCGAAGTTGCCCAAACTTTGACTGCGTCATTGGTTCACATGACAGTAAACAAATGAGCATTAAATTCTAAAGTTAATTCCTACCATCGCAATCACACGACCCGTTTTCACGATTCATCGAAAACCCAAGTGCTTCAAAATAATTCATTGATTCACGAAAAATGTAATAAGTTAGCAACAATTGGACGCATTAGTAACAGCTACCTCAGTAACCTAATGTTAAATTAAATATATACGTATCTGTGTGTGTATATGTATATAAAATAAATGTAATTAGACACTTTTATTTCTTCCAAAGTATCGTACAAATGAAACTAAAATGACCATAGAGTTCCAAAAGATTCCAAAAAAGGTTTCAGCACAAATAATGTACAGGCTCTGAGTACAAAACAAGCTGTATGTACAGAAATTAATATATTGTATTCGTTCCATCTGAAATTTTCCAATTAAAGTGATATGAAAGGGTCATTCTATATACATAAAACCCGAAGATATTTATAAACCTTTTTTTCAAACTGGGTGCATCAAATAAATTTAAACTTTAACACGTGATTATGGAGGCTCTAAGGAAGAACGCTCGTGAAATTTCATTTCTCATAAAAAATATTGTACTTATCACGGACAAGGGCCAGAATGATATATATATTTTTTTTCGACAAATGAAATATCACGAGTTGCGCGTTCATCCTTAGAGCCTCCATAATTACGTGTTAAAGTTTAAATTTATTTGATGCACCCAGTTTGGAGAAAAGTATTATAAATATTTTCACCTTTTTGGTACGTATATATCAGACTTTCATATCACCTTAAGACTGCACGCAACATTACAGGAAATGGGTTATTATTTGAATTAATTTCATTGACGATTGATCGTTCTAATCGAGGAAATCGCTGGGTAAAGAGGCGGTTCGCATTGTTCTCATCTTCGTGTTTTCCTTCCAGAGCTTCATTTCTTTTTCGACAGAGTGCGCTGCTTCTCGCCGTGAGTGACCAGTTGGGAGTCCACCGGAAGTCCCTTGCGCCTCCGCACGGCGTCTATGTACTTCTTCGCGCGGTTTCCGGTGTCCGCTTTCTCCCCGAAATGTAAGTATTCCTCCTCCGTGGACGGCACCCAATATGGATCCTGCTCGATCACCTGCGAACAAGAACAACGACCAGGGTTGGGTAATTTCACGACTTTCGAGGTTCTTCACCTATATTACGTAAATCAAGTGGTTACCGTGGAAAACGTAGAAAACCAGGAGAAAACTTATCAAATATGGCGGACAAGACAGACGTAGGGCATGCGGTATCCGCTAGGTTATAAACATCCATCCTGTCCATTTCTTTCATCCTATAACTTACTTTTTGCTCTTCCTCCTTTATACATTTTTATACAAATATTGGTTATATTTGTTTCATCCCATAACTTACTTTTTGCTCTTCCACCTTTGTACATTTTTATACAAATATTGGTCACGAATCTTACGACTTCGAATAGCCGTTATCAGCTGTTATAAACAAACGTAAAATGCACGTATATGCAGACATTTGAAATTTCCAAGGGTGATTTCCAATGTGCGCGGATTTGTGGATGCGTAAAGCGCAATCCCCTTAATTGCCAGTGAGAATCTCTCTTAGTCTAACTTAGCCCAGACCAGAACCAAAATGGCGTCGAGCGCTCGTATTTCGAACAATATACAATTATCGAAGACTCCGATATGAGAAACGAAAGATTCAGGACAATTTTACGACAATTTAGAACACTCTGGTAATCGATAAACTCGCGTTTGAATGCCATTTTTTTTTTGGCAATACCAATTTAACCTATTCTCTTAAGCTAGGAGTTTGTTTAAATAATTATGATATAAAGAAAGAAAAAATCGTTGCTCGTATGTTCTCGAACTGAAGAAACAAATTGTGCCACTCTTTTGGCAATACCAATTTAACCTATTCTCTTAAGCTAGGAGTTTGTTTAAATAATTATGATATAAAGAAAAAAGAAATCGTGGCTCGTATGTTCTCGAATTGAAGAAACAAATTCTGCCATTCTTTTGAGTAACATCGATTTAACCTATTCTCTTAAGCTAGGAGTTTGTTTAAATAATTATGATATAAAGAAAGAAAAAATCGTGGCTCGTATGTTCTCGAATTGAAGAAACAAATTCTGCCATTCTTTTGAGTAACATCGATTTAACCTATTCTCTTAAGCTAGGAGTTTGTTTAAATAATTATGATATAAAGAAAAGAAAAAATAGTGACTTAGAAAGAGTAATGTTTAATGTTTTAGTATGGAAAATGAAATCAGGATTTTTATAAACTCTGCTCGGTGTTCTTGTTCGCGCTCGAGGGCGGTCGATTTCCGTCGGTCGCACGGCGCAGTCATCGCTAAGCTTAAGCCGCGTGCGCCCGGGCTTTGGCGGTGGATAAGTTTCCCGTGCTGCCGCCTTGCGTAAGCCGGTAGCACTCCGAATTAGCCCGTTCCACCGCTCCCCGACCCCCTGGGCCCCCCGAGCCCCCCAGGCCCCCCAGGCCCCGGGGCTCGCACCTGCGACCGGCCGGATGCCGGACCGGGCCCGCTCTTTTCGTCGCTCTTCCCAAACGACTAGCGAGCTCTTAATAATTCCTAACCTCTTTCTTAACGGAATTGCGGTAGAAATGATGGGGTAAACAAAATCTAAGTATATGACTAAAATGTGACATATTCATGATTCTAATGTTCTCTTCACTTATCAGGAAACTCGGTAGAGTTTCGCGGCAAATACATTTAAAAGCATGCGTGAACAGCACCGAATACTTTACGAATAAATTATACACCGATTTATGCTCTTCCCTGGATTCTTTATTTTACAAACGAAGATTGAGGAAAAAAACGCGAATTAGGCTTACCTCCTGCCCAAAGATACATTTTGTAATTACCCCACCGGTATTCTTCATCGTGACGGTTTTTCGTGTCGCGAATTAGACTTACCCCCTGCTAAAAGATATATTTTATAATTACTCCACTGGTATTCTTCATCGTGACGGTTTTTCGTGTCGCCAATTAGGCTTTAATTACCCCACCGGTATTCTTCATCGTGACGGTTTTTCGTGTCGCGAATTAGACTTACCCCCTGCTAAAAGATATATTTTGTAATTACTCCACTGGTATTCTTCATCGTGACGGTTTTTCGTGTCGCCAATTAGGCTTACCTCCCGCCCAAAGATATATTTTATAATTACCCCAGCGGTATTCTTCATCGTGACGGTTTTTCGTGTCGCGAATTAGGCTTATTTCCTGCCAAAAGATACATTTTGTAATTACCCCAGCCATATTCTTCACCATGACGCTATTTCGTGTCGCGAATTAGGCTAACCCCCGCCAAAAGATATATTTTGTAACTGCCTCACCGGTATTATTCATCGTGACGGCTTTTCGTGTCGCGAATTAGACTTACCCCCTGCTAAAAGATACATTTTGTAATTACCCCAGCCATATTCTTCATCGTGACGCTATTTCGTGTCGCGAATTAGGTTAACCCCCGCCAAAAGATATATTTTGTAACTACCCCACCGGTATTCTTCATCGTGACGCTATTTCGTGTCGCGAATTAGGCTAACCCCCGCCAAAAGATGCATTTTGTAACTACCTCACCCGTATTCTTCATCGTGACGCTTTTCCGTGTCGCGAATTAGGCTAACCCCCGCCAAAAGAAGTTTGACCTGAAAAAGTAGTAGGAAAAACGGTTCCATTACCGCGTTACGCTTTGAAGACGTCCTCCGGTGATTTATTTCCCCCTGGGGAAAAACCTGGAAGAGCCACGTCGCACGTCCACCTCCAAAGAAGAATTTCTCAGGCCCATTCTCGGGCGAATAATTCCGGGCGGCTAGACACCGATATTCCGGGGCCCGTTCTCGGGCCCCGGGCCCCTCGCCGGCCCTGTCCTTCCCTCAGCTTTTTTTTCACCTTTTCCCTGCTCCAGGCCGTATTGAAATTTATAAGATGTGGACACCTGGCTCGCGCGCGCGGCCGGGAAGAAATAGTCCCTAGCGGGGCCAGATCCAAGATGGCGGCCGGGGACTATACCTTTCCCGGGTCCCGGGCTCCCGGCGTACGCGTACCCCGCCGAGCAGATGGTAGCCAACAGTTTTTGTTTCAGGCAGATTTGTTTTCGTGGTGCCCCGGGGAGGGGAGTGTGGGCGCTGGGCCCGCGGCGGTCCCTGGAAGGGGGGAGGGGACGGGGCCCGAGAAGTGGGGCGACAACCTGTTGCGCGTCGCCTTCGCGTTCCCGACGGGCCCCTTCTTTATGCCCAGATTCGGCGCGCGCATGGGGGAATCGCGTAATTCGAGAGTACCCAGGGGAAGGGGAGGGATAATAAAAACAAGGGGGACGCATGGAGAGCTAAGCATCTTGAAATCAAGGGATTTGCATTTGTCTCTGGTTTTGGGCCTGACATGGTCGGGCCCAATTTCTTGAAATTATATTTCGAGGGGATTAAAATAGAAGGGGAGGGATGGTAAAGATATGGGGAACACAGAATAGCTAAGCATCTTCAAATCAAGGGGTTTCCATTTGTCTCTGGTTTTGGGCCTGATGTGGTCGGGCCCAATTTCTCGCAATTGATTTTCTACGTAGAGAATCAAGAAACAAGGAAAACGCATGGAGAGCTAGGCATCTTGAAATCAAAGGATTTGCATTTGTCTCTGGTTTTGGGCCTGACATGGTCGGGCCCAATTTCTTGAAATTATATTTCGAGGGGATTAAAATCGAAGGGGAGGGATAATAAAGATATGGGGAACGCAGAATAGCTAAACATTTTCAAATCAAGGGATTTGTATTTGTCTCTAGTTTTGGGCCTGATGTGGTCGGGCCCAATTTCTCGCAATTGATTTCAACATAGAGTATCAAGAAACAAGGAAAACGCGTGGAGAGCTAGGCATCTTAAAATCAAGGGATTTGCATTTGTCTCTAGTTTTGGGCCCAATAAGATATAGTCGGGCCCAATTTCTTGAAATTATATTTCGAGGGGATGAAAATGAAAGGAGAGGGACAATAAAGATATGGAGAACGCAGGATAGCTAAGCATCTTAAAATCAAGGGATTTGCATTTGTCATTGCTTTTGGGCCTGATAAGTTCGGGCCCAATTTCGCAATTATGATTTCGAGAGTACTAAAATGCAAGGAGAGAGATAATAAAAGCAACAACGTACGAATTAATATATCCGTATCATCTGAGTGGTTTACAACTGAAATTCATAAAGGGGGGGCAAAATTTCTCATAATTGTCCAAAGTGACTTAAAAAATGGGACTATAGGTAGCAATTTCGAGCATTCTTTGCAATTTTTCCTTCCCGACATCGTTAAAGCCAGTCTAATAAATATAAACCGATTAGCGTTGTCCATTAGTTAATTTATTCGGACATTGTTTTTGCCAAAATACTGATAAAACTGCCAGAACGTTTACTGCGCGATTAACAATGTTTCTCGTAATTATTGTAAATTTGTCCAATTTATTGCAGCCGTTTACAAAGAGTCGGGAAAATTGCGTGCTTTTATGACGACGAAGAACGCACTAACAAGTGGTAAGTGCGAGAGAGAGGGGAGGAAACGTAGTGGGCATAGTTCGGAGGCCGGCCGGAAGATGGCGCCGCGACTGGCAAATGCCCGGTACCGTTTCTCAACGGCCGGAGGAAAAAAGAGGTTTTTTTCTCCCAGCGCGGCCGAGATGATCTTCCGGTTGCGAGAGGGAGATGGAAAACGGGGAACAGAAGCGGAGGAAGAGAGAAGTTCGATTCCATGTAAGCCCTCGTCAAGGCGACCATTAGAAGCGAGCAAGAAGACTCCCCGTTAGGCTCAGCCAATGTTGTATAAAGGTACCTAGATACGCCGCGCCCTCTATGGTCGCGCATTTCCCTGGATAATCGAGCAGAGTCTAAGTTCCATTTCTTCCAGATTCTTAAGGTGAAGTGAAACCCCCCTGAGTTCAGTCAATTCGAATACGACACTTTTTTTTAAGGTTATTAGTTATAGGTTAAGGTTATTACTTATAGGTTAAGGTTATTAGTAATAGGTCATTAGGACCAAACAGTCCGAAACTTTGGCACACGACTCGTGATCATCTAAGAATTGTCCTGACACATTCAAAATTTGGATTTTTCGAAAATATATTTTAACTTAGCCCACAGAATACAAAATGGCGTCGAGCCCTCATATTTCGATCAATATACAATTATCGAAGGCTCTGATATGAGAAACCAAAGGGTCAGGACAATTTTACGATAATTTAGAACACTCTGGTAATCGATAAATTCGCGTTTGAACGGGATAAAGGCAAAAAAAGTGTTTTATGCGCTTCTATGCTAAAACGATGGGAATACGAGGTCTCGGAGGGAAAATTTAATTGGCCTGGAAATCACAGATGGCGCAGGGGGTCCCTCTGCAGTCAATTAGGGCTTCAAAAAACACGAATCCAGAGGATTTCTTGAATTTTACTTGGATTTCTTTATAATTATTGTACGAAAACGACAGGTAGAGTATGCCATTTAGTACAATACCCAATATAATTCGACCCAGCTGTCAATACAAAAACGAACGTCGGCAACGTATGTATTNTATATATATAATGACCTTTTCATATCACCTTAATGGGTTCGAAGCAAGCCTCCTTAACAACGTCGCGATTTCTCTTCGCTTTTCGAGGTTAGGTCGGCGTCGGTAAACTGCGCGTGGCAAAAACCACGAGAATCGGCGCGAGATAGCAAAACCTGGCCCGGACCTTTTTCATCGAACCTAACCTCGCCTCGCTCGGCTTCATTCATTAACTCATTCTTGTTTACAGGAAGTTCCTCTCTCGGCCGAGCCGGGACACCGAGACGTCCTTTTCTTCCGCCCCACTTCGGCCCCTCCACCTGCTCCTCAGGGATGCTGCGCTCGCCTCGCAGATGCATCTCGTTCTCACGGAGAGGGGACACCGATGCCTTGTACCAGGATTGGCGGAGAAGCATCTCGGATTAAGTAAAGTTCCCTTTAACCCCTTGAACACGGAGCCATTTTGACATACGGGCGAAATTCGTCTGACCGTGCAGGCAATATTGGACCAAACGTCGGACGCTTTTAGGCGCTCTTAGTAGCCAAAGGGTTAAAAAAAGTGTCTCATTCAAATCGACTGACTTGAGGGGGGTTTCACTTCACCTTAAGACTGCAGATTCGGGAGAATGTCTGTCAGGAATAGAGAGTAGATGTCAGTCGAAAGTGCAGGGGAAGTGATAGGCGAAAACTGCCGAGATCGTTTCCGCCGTTTCGGGACTTTTTCCTCGAGTTTAGCTTCGCTCGATTTCGTTGATTAACTCGCTCCCGTTGACAGGAAGTCTCGTAGACTCTCTCCGTGGCTCTTTTTCTTCTGCCCCACTTTCCATCTCTCCGTTTTGTCCCCCTCGGTGAGAGGACCCGTACGATACTTATTCACAATACTGATACGATTATTATTCATAATATTGCAATAATTCAATTCTCCGGCATTTATATCGAAAATACATAAAAAATGAGATACTTGGCATCGATATTCGATATCGATACCTTTTAGAATGATACATAACAATGCAGTATAACTGATATGGTGACAAAGTACCGATGTACCGATACTATCAACAATATAAACGAATATTTCAAGTACTTTATGATACAATACATGAACAAAGGTCTCACCTTTCGTTTCTTAACTTAACTCAGTTCTAATGAATAACATAGGTAATAATTACCGCAAATTTTTAATCAAAGAACATTTCTTTTTATGTATATTACCCTCAATAACTCCATTTTCATTCCTCCCGTAATATTGCCACCCCCACGATCTTTCGATATTTTTTAATGCTTTATTGCATTCTCTCACAGGACGGTATCATAAAGTACTTTAAATATTCGTTTATATTGTTGATAGTATAGATGCTTCGGTATTTTGTCACCGTATCAGTTATAACTGTATTGTTATGTATCACTCTAAAAGGTATCGATATCGAATATTGATGTCAAGTGTCTCATTTTTTATGTATTTTCGATACCTCGGATTATAATACCGGAGATTTGAATTATTGCAATATTATCATTAAGTAATAAGTCAGTCCCGTCACTAACCACGGTCAACAATTCGAGTATACCAACTTGAGCCGACAATTGCAAGCGTACTCGAATCGTCGGGAAACGGATGAAGCTCGACCCTTTGTTCGGCGATGGTGGAGTCAATTTTTCCCGGGAATAGGTTAAATGGAAAGTAATTTTCCTGGCACCATTCATCTTCCCTGGCGACCACTTTCCATTGAAAATCTCGATGAATGGAGACCTTCCGGGAATGGAATCTGCACTGGAGTGGAGACGCCAAGGTAAAAGACACCTTTTCAAAGCGGAAATCAGTCCTAACTATAGTTGAATAGTATCCATGTTTAATATTGTTTTTCAGGTAGATTTTGAAAGTGTGAATATTATCGTGATTTGTTGCAACATGGTGTAGGGTTGAGGTTAAAGATACATTTTCAAAGCGAAAATCAATATTAACCGTACTTTTTGCCTGAAATTTCAATTGAATTTGACGTGATGTATTATCTGAATATTTATTAATGGGCAGTTGAATAATTTCCACGTTGAATATTGTTTTTCAGGTGGATTTTGAAAGTGTGAATAATATCGTGATTTGTTGCAACATGGTGTAGGGTATAAGAGGTGGGGCACTAAAATCGAGGTTGTTGCAGTAAAATAGCACTAAAAAAGCACTAAATTCTCCAATAGGTTTCATTCCATATTTCCGATGTGGGGGTGCCTACTGTACACCGGGAGACATCAATGCCCTCCCATCCTGCACAGGCAATGTCGTACCTGCAGAGGTGGCATTCATGTCCGCCATTGTACATACATTGTTTTACGGGCCCCGGGACGTCCCTGACCAACGACCTCCGTTTCGGGACAAGAGGGCCCAGGGGCCCTAGGGCCCAAAACGAGAGAAATGAGAGAAAGGAGGGGGTTCCGTGGAAACGCCGCAGGGGTCCGTCTCGTGGTTCTCGAGTGGCGTGGGCGGCCGCGTGGGGCCTTTGCTAATTAAATAGAAAAAATTTGTTATAGTGCTTTTATAGTGCCATTTTAGTGCCACAATGAGGCAAATTTCAGTGCAACAAGTGAACATTCACTCAGCACCACCAACGATTTTCGGTATAAGGGGTGGGGCACTAAAATCGAGGTCGTTGCAGTAAAATAGCACTAAAAAAGCACTAAATTCTCCAATAGGTTTCATTCCATATTTCCGATGTAGGGGTGCCTACTGTACACCGGGAGACATCAATGCCCTCCCATCCTGCACAGGCAATGTCGTACCTGCAGAGGTGGCATTCATGTCCGCCATTGTACATACATTGTTTTACGGGCCCCGGGACGTCCCTGACCAACGACCTCCGTTTCGGGACAAGAGGGCCCAGGGGCCCTAGGGCCCAAAACGAGAGAAATGAGAGAAAGGAGGGGGTTCCGTGGAAACGCCGCAGGGGTCCGTCTCGTGGTTCTCGAGTGGCGTGGGCGGCCGCGTGGGGCCCTTGCTAACTAAGTAGAAAAATCAGGGACCGGGCCCAGGGCTGGAGGGGCCCCCGGGGGCACCCAGGCCCCGGACTGGGGTGTAAGTTTCAGGCCCCCGGCGCGCCATTGTCCCGCCTGACAATGGGGACAATCAACCGGTGACAGGCTAACAATGAGGAGGGCCCGTTGCAGCCTCTATACCCTCTCGATACCTTGGGCCCCGACCCGGGGCCCGAGAAACGGCTCGGAATCTCGGAATCTTAACGGCACTGTCTCTTCCTCTTGTACGCCTCGAGGAACCTGGGCCTGACCACCTTCCTTCACCTTTTGGGACCTTCTCGCGCCTCCTCCTCGCTCTGGGCCTTCTCCTGGGCCCGGACCTGATTAAGGGGATGTGAAAGTGCCATCTTAGGGGTCAATCGTTCATGAAACTTTTCTCCGAATTGGGTGCGCCAATTTCTTTCAAATTGTAACTCGTGAGTAAGGAGACTCTGAGGTAGGTCATGAAACTCCCGAAATTTGTTATTAACCATTTACCAGTACCGATGTGCCGAATATCAAGGGACATTTTCAGGGTACGTCGTTTGCGATTTGATAGATTAGCAAATAATGTTATTTGTATATGCGCCAATTTCTTTCAAATTGTACCACGTGAGTAAGGAGACCCTGAGGTAGGTCATGAAACTCCCGAAATTTGTTATTAACCATTTACCAGTACCGAGGTGCCGAATATCAAGAGACATTTTCAGGGTACGTTCTTTGCGATTTGATGGATAGCAAATAATGTTATTTGTACATGCGCCAATTTCTTTTAAGTTTTACCACGTGGATGAGGAGATCATGAGGTAGATCGGAAACTCGCGAAATTTCATTTGTTATTAATCATTTATCATTATCGATGTGGCGAATATCAAGGGACATTTTCATGGCACGTCCTTTGCAATTTGATGGATTACCAATTAATGTTATTTCTAGATAGAATGATAAAGGAAAAAGTATTTTCTGTCTAATCTGACGCGTCAGATCGCAAATAAAGAGCAGCTGAGTGTTTCACGGTTATATACATATTTGTCGCGAAACTCTGCCGATTTCCTTGACAACAGCTAAATTACGAGTATTGAAATGTGTCGAATGTCAAGGGACATTTCCATGGCACGTCTTTTGCGATCTGATAAATTACCAATTAATGTTATTCGTAGATAAAATGGTAAAGGAATAAGTATTTTGTCTAATCTGACGCGTCGGGATAAAAATCGCAGATACAGAGCACCTGAGCGTTTCGCAGTTATACATGTATTTGGCGCGAAACTCTGCCGGGGTTGTTGATACTCACCTCCCAGTGGCTGAAGACGAGCTGGGGACTGGCAAGGCCCGAAGTTTGCGTGCGCAATTCTCGGGCCAGCTGGAAACTCTCGGGGACCGGTAGAGTAGCCAACACGCGGAATTGTCCGCCAAAGCCCAGGGCACTTTCTGCTGTCACGACGCGACCCTGGCGCTTCCCAAACACTGCATACAGCTTCCCTGGAAGAATAAACGTAAATATTAAAAATTTCCAACGAAACGCTGACAATAGTATTGCATCTACAAACTTTTATAAGTATTGTGAATTTTAGGTTATGAGAGTTTTTTGGCGACGTTAGTTCGTCAAAATATAAACAGTCATGAATTCATGGGCTTTCGGTTGTTTTACGTCGATCTTTTTATAATTACTTTACCGCAACGACATATAGTACCCTTCGGTTCGTATAATTCGGAGCACCCAGTTTGGCGAAAATGTTCATAAATATTTCGACTTTTTATGTAGATATTACACTTTCATATCCTCTTCACCCTTTGGCTACGAAGAGCGCCTATAGGCGCCCGACGTTTGGTCCAATATTGCCTGCCCGGTCAGGCGAATTTCGCCCATATGTCGAAATGGCTCGGTGTTCAAGGGGTTAAGGGTATTGGATCGAACTACCGCAATTTGCCTGACCTATCCAACTGTATGAACTGTTAAGATGAAGTGAAACCCCCCTCAAGTCAGTCGATTTGAATAAGACACTTTTTTAACCCTTTGGCTGCTACGAGCGCCTAAAGGCGCCCGACATTTGGTCCAATATTGCCTGCCCGGTCAGACGAATTTCGCCCATATGTCGAAATGGCTCCGTGTTCAAAGGGATAAGGGTATTGGATTGAACTACCGCAATCTGCCTGACCTATCCAACTGTATGAACTGTTAAGATGAAGTGAAACCCCCCTCAAGTCAGTCGATTTGAATAAGACACTTTTTTTAACCCTTTGGCTACTACGAGCGCCTAAAAGCGCCCGACGTTTGGTCCAATATGGCCTTCACGGTCAGGCGAATTTCGCCCGTATGTCGAAATGGCTCTTTGTTCAAAGGGATAAGGGTATTGGATCGAACTATCACAATCTGCCTAACCTACCCAACTGTATGTTAAGGTGAAGTGAAACCCCCCTCAAAATCAGTCGATTTGCATAAGACACTTTTTTTAACCCCTTGGCCACTAAAAGCGCCTAAAAGCGCCCGACATTTGGTCCAATATGGCCTGCCCGGTCAGACGATTTTCGACCATATGTCGAAATAGCTCCGTGTTCAAGGAGTTAAGGGTCTCGCGTTCTTTTCGTCAAGTACACGGATTAGCGAGAACTATCGGAGCTTCCGACGTGTATAACGAATAAAGGGAGGTAAAAGGAGGGAAAAAGGAGGCAGAAGGAGAAAGAAGGAAGCAAAAAGGGGGCGGATAAAAAATACTCCCAAGAGCCCGGGGGAACGGGCGATGCACCTCCCGGCGGGGATCGTGTTTTTCTCCCTTGTTGATATTTACGAGGAGAGTCGGCCCGTTGTTCTTCTCTCGATTTTGAAAGGAAGACGCGGAGGGAGATGGGAAAGGGGGAGGCATTCGGGAGCAGCGGAAGCCATCCATATCGAGATCGGCAGAGCCCGAGGGACGGTCCTTCCGAAGGAACTAATCGCTCGGCCGAGGACGGGATATCTCGCCCCTGTAATGGGGCCCCTCGCTGTTGGGACTTCCTCCGGGATCTAATTTCGAGAGCACCCCTTTTTTCTCTCCTTCCTCCCGGACTCGACTTCTACTCTTGATACATGGGCGAAATTAATCACGAGTCTCGGTCTACGAGAGCAGCTCCAGTTAATTCGGACCCCTGCGGGACATCCTCCGGAGCTACTCGTTTCCATTTACAAGAGGAGGGACTATTCACTGCACTAGGAGGGAAATTATTGTCAATTTTGACGTGTCTTGTTAAACCTAATTTTGGCATGATTTTTAAGTAGACTATTCATTCTACTAGAAGGGAAATTATTGTCAATTTTGACATGTCTTGTTAAACCTGATTTTCATGTAGACTACTCATTTTACTAGGAAGGAAATTAATGTCAATTTTGACATGTCTTGTTAACCTGATTTTTTTTACATGATTTTCATGTAGACTACTCATTCTACTAGGAAGGAAATTATTGTCAATTTTGACACGTCTTGTTAAACCTGATTTTTTGACACGATTTTTAAGTAGACTACTCACTCTACTAGGAAGGAAATTATTGTCAATTTTAACATGTCTTGTTAAACCTGATTTTTTGGCATGATTTTTAAGTAGACTACTCACTNACACTTTTTTTGCCTTTATCCCATTTAAATGCGAGTTTATCGATTACCAGAGTGTATATATATCTTACGTACGTTCAATAAACATTTATATACGATTAATTTACGGATATTCCACGCTCCGCGGTGCCTGGGCAAGTTCTCCCGTTAGTGTCGTTGCGAAGTCCGAGATGGCGCAGCGAGGGGCCGGGAAGTTCGGCAAAAAGGCCGGTTCGGAAGCCCGTGAGAGGTTTCGGGGAGCGAGAGGCGATCTCGCCGGAGCGTAAGCCGAGTCGGCGGGTTTCCAGGAATCGAGGCTCGTGCACCGGAAGCAATCTCGCTCGCTCGGAACTAATCGCCCCAAGCAAATCTTCGCTCGGACTGGCGGAATGGCGCCGCTCATAGGCGACCGTAGAGTTTCTTCGCGAGGACCAAGTAGCGATGGCTTCGACCGACCGAGAATACCCTGAGAGAAGAATCAAGTTAAGGTGAAGTGAAAACCCCTTCAAATCAGTCGATTCGAATACAACACTTTTTATTATGGGTATTAGACCAAACTGTCCGAAACTTTGACACGTCACTCCTGATCACCTAAGAATTATCCTGACACATTCAAAATTTGGATTTTTGGAACAAATTTTTTAACAACCCAGACCAGAAACAAAATGGCAAGAGAGAAAGAGAGAGCTCTTCTTCTCGCGAAATATTTAGAAATTATTCTTTGCTACTAGGGTGGTTTCACCCCTTATAGTGTTTAATGGCAGATAAAACGAAAATACGCGTCGCTTAGTTTTTAGTCTACTATAACATATTATAAAAGAAATGAAATCGGAGAGGTCGATCTGGGACACCTTCCTTGTGAGAGAGAGCGAGAGAGAGAGCTCTTCTTCTCGCGAAATATTTAGAAATTATTCTATGCTACTAGGGTGGTTTCATCCCTTAAAGTGTTTAATAACAGATAAAAGAAAATACGTGTCGCTTAGTTTTTAGTCTACTGTAACATATTATAAAAGAAATGAAATCGGAGAGATCGACCTGGGATTCCTTCCACTTTCAGTGCAGGGTATAACCGCGCCATAAGTTTCACTTGAAAACAAGGAAAGTTCGAAGTCGGTTCCAACCCATCGCTACCTCGCTCGAGAGCAAGATCGACTCTCGGATCTCTGGAGATCCCGTCCCACTCGCTCGGCCGGCTCGTCGCAGCTTCGGGCTTCCGGTCGCGCCCTGAGGCACCTGCGCGCACCTGCCCCCACCTGCCCCCACCTGGGCCCTCCTGCCCCACCCGGGCCCTAAGGCCCTCCGGGGACCTTGCCACCCTCCACCCCGAGAGAGAACTCTAACGATCTTTCTCTCTTCTCCCTCAGCCACGAGAGCAGCGGCTCTCACTACACGTCTCTCTATGTGCTATTTACTTAGAAGTTAATGAAAATTATTTCCGTTTTTTTAAACTGATTGCATTTGATTTCATTTGGTAAAGAATAATTAGATTCGATAACTGGTGACGTCCTAGGCAACCCATGAAGTGGAATATACGTAAATTAATCGTCTATATTAGGTATATAGAGGTATAGCAAATGTATATCGTCTATCATCCACCTAAAAAAATATCTAAAGGATATGTATAAATATCTATGTCTATTGTAGATGCAAATTATATATCCAATATTGACGTCTCCCTTACTGCTATTTACTTAGAAATTAATGAAAATAATTTCCGTTTCTTTGAACCAATTGCATTTGATTTCATTTGGTAAAGAATAATTAGATTCGATGACTAGTGACGTCCCAGGCAACCCATGAAGTGGAATATATGTAAATTAATCGTCTATATTAGGTATATAGAGGTATAGCAAACGTATATCGTCTATCATCCACCTAAAATAATATCTAAAGGATATATATAAATATCTATGTATATTGTAGATGAAAATTATACATCCAGTATTGACGTTTCTTTTATTGCTATTTACTTAGGAATTAGTGAAAATGATTTAATTTGGTAAAGAATAATCAGATTCGATGACTAGTGACGTCCCAGGCAACCCATGAAGTGGAATATACGTAAATTAATCGTCTATATTAGGTCTATAGGTATAGCAAATGTATATCGTCTATCATCCACCTAAAATAATATGTAATAATATCATTTCGTTCGCTATATATATAGATATAGATATATCGTATATATCTATATATATCTTACATACGTTCAATAAACATTTATATACGATTAATTTACGGATATTCCACGTTCCACTGTGCCTGGGTACTTTTCAAAGAAATATTTCGTTGGTTCTTTGTATTGTTCTCATTCGAGTGCCGATCGATTGAATACCAGGTAAATTTATCCCGAAGTCCAAGCTGCATGCCAATAACAGGAAACGCATATCGAAATTACCCAATCAAGGCGTGGGCTTATCCTCGGAATAATTTATCCGGAGGTGTATTTATACCGGATTTCATTATGGCTGTTTTTAACCCTCTATGACCCGAATGCAAATTCCGCGGAAACGTAATTATTTCAAAGTCACTTCGACTTTCCACTTGCGTTGGTGTTCTCCTCGTATATCGAACTAGCAATCGTTTCCTTTTCATTTTTATATTGCTTAAACAAGTATAGCTGCAGAGGCATCCAGTAATTTCACTTCTTCCATCTTTAAGGCTAAGTGAAACGCGTCGAGGAACTTGATCGACGTCGATAAAGAAGATTTTTCTAGATACCTACGTTGGTGACGTTGGTTTTTATATCGACAGCTGTGTCGAATTATATTGGATATTGTACCAAATGGCGTACTCCACCTGTTGTTTTCGTACAATAATTATAAAGAAATCCAAGTTAAACTGAAGAAACCCCCTGGATTCATGGTTTTTGAGGCCCTAGTTGACTGCAGAGGGACCCCCTGCGCCATCTGTGATTTCCAGGTCAATTAAATTTTCACTCCGAGACCTCGTATTCCCATCGTTTTGGCATGAAAGCGCATAAGACACTTTTTTTGCCTTTATCCCATTTAAATGCGAGTTTATCGATTACCAGAGTGTTATAAATTGTTGTACAATTATCCTGACCCTTTCGTTTCTCATATTAGAGCCTCAATAATTGGATATCAATCGAAATATGAGACCTCGAGAGAGATAAAGATTTTCCTAAATACGTACGTTGCCACGTTCGTTTTTATATCGACAGCTGTGTCGAATAAAAATTGGGAATTGTACCAAATGGCATACGCCAACTTTTGTTTTTGTACAATAATTATAAAGAAATCAAAGTGAAACTCTAGAAATCCTCTGGATTGATGCTTTTGAAGGCCCTAATTGACTGCAGAGGGACCCCCTGCGCCATCTGTGATTTCCAGGTCAATTAAATCTTCACTCCGAGACCTCGTATTCCCATCGTTTTGGCATAGAAGCGCATAAGACACTTTTTTTACCTTTATCCCGCTCAAATGCTAGTTTATCGATTACCAGAGTGTTCTAAATTGTCGCACAATTATCCTGACCCTTTCGTTTCTCATATTAGAGCCTGAATAATTGTATATCGATCGAAATATGAGAGCTCGACGCCATGTTGGTTCCGGCTTTTGCTAAGTTAAAAAATTGTTTCCAAAATCCAAATTTTGAACGTGTCAGGACAATTCTTAAATGATCACGAGTCGTGTGTCAAAGTTTCGGACAGTTTGGTCCAATACCTTTAAAAGAAAAGTGTTGTGTTCGAATCGACTGAATTGAGGGGTGTTTCACTTCACCTTAAATATTAATACGAGAGAGATAATCTCGCCTGGAATTCCACTTGTCGAAAGTTAATTCAATCCCCCGAGGAATCAACTTTCCCCCGTGAGCGCAATCGATATAACGCCCATTATCGACGCAATCTCGCAGGTAACCGTCGGATTCAGCAACGCATCTCCCCGTGCATTAGCAGTGCCTCGTACGCAAGAGGCGAGCTCCGGCAATCTGCGAGGTGAAAAGCGGAGCGAGAGAGACGGACCGATGCGGGCCGGCGGAGGAGGGAGAGAGAGGCGACGACACCCGGCAGGGAAGGAAGGCGGCGCGGGAAGGGAAAGGAGAGAGGGAGTGAATGGACCGCAGCCTCCATCAATGAACCAGCGACTCTCAACTACCTTAGGTTGACCGTCTCACCTGCTAGGTGAGTCCATTGCGTCGGTCCACAGCGGATGCCAATTAGAATCAGAGAATTTGAGGATTTCCCGTATGCGCGCGCAGCTAGATCGCAGGGGGCAATTAAAATCCCGAAAAGTGCAATATTTGGTAGGTGCGCGCGCAGGTAGATCGCAGGGGATCGTTAAATCGTGAAAAATAGAAAATTTGGCGGCTGAGCGCAGGTAATTTTAAAGGTACATTTTATCGTAAGATATAATGTGTTATATCATATAAATATATTGCGATAACATGTATTTTATCGTAAAAGTATCTTACGATAAACTGTACTTTATCGTAAACATATCTTACGACAACATGTATTTTATTGTAAAAGTATCTTACGACAAACTGTGCTTTATCGTAAACATACCTTACGATAAAATGTATTGAAAAATATTTTTCGATAAAATGTATTGAAATATATCTTACGATAAAATGTACCTTATCGTAAAAATATCTTACGATAGCATGTATTTTATCATACAAATATTTTACGATAACATGTATTTCATCGTAAAAGTATCTTACGATAACATGTATTTTATCGTAAAAGTATCTTACGATAAAATGTACCTTATCGTGAAAGTATCTTACGACAAACAGTACTTTATCGTAAACATACCTTACGATAAAATGCATTGAATTATATCTTACGATAAAATGTATTGAAAAATATTTTTCGATAAAATGCATTGAATTATATCTTACGATAAAATGTGTTGAAAAATATTTTTCGATAAAATACATTGAAATATATCTTACGATAAAATGTATTGAAATATATTTTTCGATAAAATGCATTGAAATATATCTTACGATAAAATGTACCTTATCGTAAAAATATCTTACGATAGCATGTGTTTTATCATATAAATATCTTACGATGACATGTATTTTATCGTAAAAATAAATCTGGAGCCTAATGAACGAAAAGCGATGGATGCACGAAAATCGGTGTCAATTTTGAGTAATGGAAAAAAATCGTGAAGGCTCCGGTCATGTTAAGAAACCATCCAGAAATCATCCAGAAAAAATGGAGAACCCACCCACGCAATCCGAACAGGAAAAGTGTGATCTATGAGAGATTCAACCATGCGGCAGAGGTATATGTACAGGGTGATTCAGAATTCCGTAATATCAGGTATCTCCATGTTGAAGAATAAGACACTAGGGAATAAAAATAAATTAATCGATTAAAATAATTAACGTTTAGAAATTTTAAATACTAGGTGAAGACTAGCCTCACGGGGTTCAGTCATTTCCGTAAACATTTGCCGACATCACCAGTGTTTAATAACACTGTATAATTTTTCAATTTTTATTTTCCGTTTTAGTAAATCCAGCAGACATGGAGGTACCTTTAAATCTATTTTTTTGCATAATTTCCGATCTTACCAGTATTTAACAATTCCACTTAATTTTCCAACGTCTACTTTCTGTTTTAGTAAATCCGCCACATATGGAGGAACCTATACATCAATTTCTTTAAACAATTGCCGAC